TTCATCGTTAAATACTGAAGGTTCACTGTAGATTAAGGGGGGTGGGGTACGGCCGGCAGTTCGCAAAATGTTTCGTAACTAATAAAAAACACAATATCACGGACAACGCATTAATAAGACAAATATTTTTATTTTAGTAAAATTTACTTGAATTGGCTGGTTGCTATTAGAATTTGCAAATTGTGTAGGCATACGCTGAAAAAATATAACTCTTAACAATAATTTAAGTGTATTTGAATTTTTAACTTAGAAAATTAAAAAAAGCATTACTTGATGAGAAGAAGAATTCTGAGAAGTTGAATTTGTTGGTGTCAATTCATTTAAAATTTCACTAGGAAGCTGAGGTGTTTGCTGAAATTTTTTGTATTTAGTGATTTTTAAATAAAAATTATTAAGTATTTTTCATTTATAAATAATAAATTTTTAATAACTCAATTTTTTTTTCAAATAAAGAATTACAAATAATTACTTGAGGCGTATCATCTACCACCACCAAGTCATTTAAATTTTCAGAAGCAACTTGTCGATGTTGATGCTGAAATAATTATTATTGTTGCATGTATTATATAAAAATTTTAGAAAATTACAAAAAAATTGTAATTAAATTTTGTTAAAAATATTATTTGTTAGCATACTCTTAAATAACTGGCAATTTATTAAGAAACATCGTTTTAAATTTAAACAAAACTGCAATATTCAAATTTAAAAAAATAAATTGATTTAAATATGAATCCCGTTAATTGAAATTTTATTGAATCTAGCATTGATATTAAATACTTAATTCGAATAGATTTAAGCTAATATTTTATTTTATATTTTTTATAAATTTTTTAATTTAAAATTAATTTAATATTAGCAATTTCTCATCAATTGAGTTTAAGTACAATATTAATCAATTCGATTATGTATCATATTACATTTAAAATTTAAAACTCAGTAAAAACATTTTAATCAAAATACTTAGGTAAATTTCAAATTGGCAAAAGAAAAAAAATTTCAAATGATAAAATTTACTTTAATTCAATACTAAATTTAATTAAAATTTCTAGTTCAAGTGAAATTTTTAATTCAAATTTTAATTTAAATTCTATTAAATTTTTAATTCAAATTTTAATTTAAATTCTATTAAATTTTAATCATTTATTTAATTATTTTAAGCAAATAATTTAATTAATGGCTAAATCTTCCTTCAATAGTCATTAAATAGTAAATTACAAATGAATATTAATAAGACAAATTTATTAAAAGCATTTTCAAAAATATTTATTTAAACAATTAAATTTATAATTGGAATATAAAAAACTATTCAAATTATATAATTCAATAAAATTTTATTTTAAGCAATATAAAAAATAAATTCAGAAATTAGGATGAAATTAAATTATAGTTGTAAAGCAGTAAAAAGATTATTACTAAATTTTTACGAGAAAGAGCATAATAAATTATAATCGAAAAATTCTTAATTTAATAATTTTTTAAATAATCCAATGTATTTTTTTAAAATAAATATTAATAATAGATTGAATAAGGTTAATACATTAGATTTATAATTGAAATATTTAAGATTTAAAAATTTTCAAGTCAACCTACATATTCAACTTCTTCTTCCTCTTGGGGCTGTTGATAAATACGGGCGGAACTTGAAGGCCCTTGCTCAGTTAAATTACTTTGTTGTTGTTCAAAATTTCCGGCGTTTAGTATTTCAATTGTTGAGGAGCTAACAAAACGCAATTTTATGTCCACACTTCCAGACCATAAATGACGAGCTCCTGTCTCGGGAACTACAATAAGATTGCACAGCTTAACTCGCTAAATTTTAATAATTCAAAATTTTTTTAAATTTAAATTTAAAAAAATTTACTTGATTTATTTTTGCCCCTTCTAATCGGCTCGCATTTTGTTTCCAGGCAAAGACGCAAATTTTTTCTTTATCACCAGCCTGGCCTATTTCCACATGACAGTCACCGCGGTCCCACCCATTTTTGGCGGTGGGACCGCGGTGACTGTAGACCACATCTCCGATGAGCTCGCTTAAAAAATATTTTTATTAATTAAATTTTGAATATTAATTTGAAAAATATTTAAAAAATATTTTTATTTTCAAAAACTACCTGAACACTTGATCTTTCTCCCACGGTAACATGAACATATCTGTTGCAGTACAGCCAGTAGTTTCATCTAACGTTATGAATCTGGCTCCTTCAGGCTGATGGCCAGTAAATCGATTCTGCCGTTTTGCAAGAATCTATTAAAAAAATTTTTTAATTAAAAATTTTAAATAAATTAATTACTTTGAAAATTTTTTTTAATTTTTAAAAAATTAAAATTTAAAAAATTTAAAAAATTTTAATTTTTAAAAAATTAAAATTTAAAAAATTTTAATTCACCTAAACGTATTAAACTTTGTTGGTTTAAATATTTTATTTACCTGCGCAGCTATATCCTGAGGCATTCGATCCGCTTCAACAACTGCAACAATCTTTAAACAAAAAAAATAAAATTTTTTAAATGTAGTATTTTTTAATTAGTTAAGAATAAAACTAATATAAAAATATATATTTTTTCTAATATATATATTTTCTTTAGGATTTTACAATATTACAATACCTGAGCTGGAGCTGCGGCTACAGGCATTGGCATTGGTGCCGCATTTGTTGAAGTCATTCCCTCAACCTTTATTATTAAAATTTAAGAAATTTTTTTAAAAATTAAACAAATTTTGTTTTTCTTTCATTTAATTTAACCATGGTAATTTAAAGTTTTTTAGATTTTTTTTTAAATTAAATCAAATTTACTTGATTTTGTTGTGTTGGATACAAAGACCACATCTGTTCACTTGCCGGAACCTAAATATGTAAATTAAAAATTGAACAAGAGAATAAATATTAGTGTTAGTTTTAGGAAATACTTAATCTGAAATAGAAAGACAAAAACACTGAAAAAAATATCAGGCATAAATTTCCCGAAAAATTTACAAAATAAATATATTTTTACATTTTTAGAAAATTCACAAATCTACCTGGGAATCCGGATTTGTGTTTAGTGTTGCATTTGTTACATTTTGTATAGGTTGTTGTAATGATTCTACTGGTGGAGGTGTTGGCGAAGTTATAATTCTAAGCTGACGTCGAGGAGGTCCCGGACTCTGTTCACTTGTTGGGCGCTTGCGGTTTGTTGAATTAGAGCTTGTTCGTGGCATAATTTTATTTTTCTGAAATATTAAAAGTATAAATTTTAAATTAATTAAATCAGACTGGAACATGGGTACAATATTATAGAAATGCCTGCGGATATCCGTCTGTATCCGCCGTAAATATCCGGATACCAAAATAAGTATCCATGTCTAGTCTGAATTAAATTAAGCGATTTTGTATAAGTAAAAAATTTTAAATAAAAATAATGATGAAAATATTTTAATGAAAAAGGTTGATTAAATTATTTGTTTTAATTGGAAAAATTTTTTTTGTTTAAATGGCTAAAAAAAAAGATTTTATCTACAACATTCCTCTTTTGTTTTGTTCCCTTTTAAAAGGAAAGAAAAAAATTTTTTGAGTCCTTAAAAATTAAGTCCTTAATTTTTTATCAATTAACAAAATTGATTAATTTAGGTGTCATTCGACTAGGCTCGTCAAACTCTTCCGAATGAGATCACATTTGTATTTTCTAAAGAGTTTTGAAACCTTACCCTAGTCAATTACCGACATTCGAGTTTTAAACATAATACGACTAACAAAGAAAGTTTACAATAATATTTATATAATATCTATAAATTTACTTCAAGTTTCTCTGACAATACACCGCTCAACGCAGCAGCAAAGTTCTTCCCAATTCCACAAAGAATAATAACACGTCCACTAGTCATGTATTCACAACCATGATCACTAACACCTTCGATGCCAGAAGTAGCACCAGAATTACGAACTGCAAAACGTTCTCCAGCAATTCCTCGAAAGAATGCTGTCCCTATAAAAAATTTAAAACTTAGAAATTGAGAAAATTTTAAACCAGAAGTTGAGCCATAAAGAGCCACATTTCCAATTATTGTATTTTCTTCAGAAGCATAATTAGAATTTTTGTATGGCTGAATTATTATTTCACCTCCAGAAAGGCACTAAATTAAGAACAAAAATAACAGAAAAATTAATTCCCAACCTTTCCAACATAATCATTCGCCTCACCCTCCAATCTGTCAGTGAATACTTTTGCCAAAAAAGCACAAAAACTTTGTCCAGCGGATCCTTTTAAATTAATTTCCAATGAATGCCTCTCAGGCAACCCTTCTTCTCCATAACGAATAGAAATCTTTGAAAATATTTATAAATTTTATTAATTATTCAAATACCTCGTAGCTAGGTCGGGCCCCAAAACAACGGTTTGTATTGCCTATTATTCTTTCTTTGAGACTCACTTGTTTGATTGCTGACCTAATATTATTGTCTTTGGATTGATCCTTCCGATAACGTTCAGGTCTCTCACCACCTTCTCCTTTGTTGGATTTTGCACCGATCTTATTCATAGCAAACGCTAATGATGTATAAGCTTCCATACTTATAACCCTAAACAAACACTTTTAAAATGGTTTGAGACATTTGAAAACAGTTACATGGAAAAAGTGAATTAGTCTCTTATTACTTTAACGCAATGTTAACACCAAATTAAATCAAAAATAAAAAGAACGAACCCGAAAGACATTGCTCCAGTGACAAATCTTTTCACAATTTCTGATGCCGGTTCAACTTGATCCAATGGAATTTGAAGTTTAGCGTTTGTTTTAATTTCCAGTTGACCACGAAGGCTGCAAAGACGTTGAGCAAGATTTGAAGCTATCGCAAAATCTTGATAACTCTTGGCATCATTTAAACGAGCAGCAGCCTTTAAAAGTAAAATTTAAGATTTCTTTAGAATTTATAACCTGAAGTTTTGCTATGTTAACCTCATTGACATGTTTTTCTCCACCATCGCGCCAATGATAAATTTCAGGACTTAGGAAAACTTTTCTATCATCTTTTAAAAAAATATAAAATTAAGCTCTGAGTTTTAAGCAAACCATAAAGGTATAAATCCCTATTTGGTACATTTGGATAGGCGATCCGATGTCTTCGAATTGCCTCCAATACCAAAGTTTCAAAGTCAGCAACGCCAAGCCGAAACAAAGAATTAGTAAAGCATTTGTCAACAACTTCACGACCCAGCCCAACAATTTCAAAAATTTGTGCACCCTATGCAAGAAACGAATTTAAGAAAACAAAAAATTTTATACCTTGTAAGAGTGTAAAGTACTAATTCCCATTTTTGCCATCACTTTATAAATGCCTCGTTCAATTCCTGCTTCATACCCTTGTACAACAGCATCGTCTGTCAGATTTTTATCCAAAAGTCCCATTGTTCTAAGTCTATAACAAGTCTCATATACCATATAAGGACAAATTGCATCAGCACCAAATCCAAGAAGAACACAAAAATCTAAATAAATTTTGAATGACTCTTAAAGATAATTATTAAACGCACCGTAAACCTGCTTTACTTCACCAGACTGATATATATAATAATTTATTGCACCAAGAGCAAGAAGCGCCCTGTACAAATTTTGCTTTTTTTAAAAAACACAAATTACCTAATTGGAACGTAATCTCTGTCAACTTGTCTATCAGAGAGAATTAAAATTTGACAACCGTCTAGAGCTGCGGAACAAGCCTCACTAAAAATAAAATTCCTAAAAAGGATCAAACTGCTAAAAAATATACTTGCATATTCTGACTAAAGCTGCCACCAAACCTCTCTGCCCATGTCTTGCTTGATAAACAATATTAATTACATATGAACGCCATCCCAAGTCATAAATTAACTAAAAAATATCAAAAATTTCTAAAAATCAAAATTTAACTTGTGCGAGATCATCAAAAATGTAAATGCCATGATAAAGAGGAGAGATGAGTCTAACTTAAAAGATAGTTTAAATTAGAGCCCGGCACGGAACGGGACCCCATACGGGATTTTTGGGATCCCGTCCCGGAATCCCGGGTTTTTGGCGACAAACGGGATTACTGGATTTACGGGATTAATCCTGTGGAATCCTGTCCCGGTCGAATTTTGAAACACAATCACGTTCCGGGATCCCGGGAATGCGATTTTTAAGGTTTTCCCGTTATAATTTATAAACTGCTAAACTGAACAAACCTCCATGAGTTGATTTTCTTGTAGCGGCAATTTCTCTCTTTACTTTGTAACCAGGAATTTCACCTGAAATTTGGAAAAAAACAATTTGATTTTACAAAGAAAAACAAAACCTCCGTCGCCCAGCTTTGCTCCCTGAGCCATTTTTATTTGTACCTCAACGGAATTTGCCAGATAAGAGCTATATATCACGATTAAAATTCATATAACTAAAAAATCCGACCTGTTAACACCAAAGCTGGCCGAAGCTACCATTTGTTGCGAAATTTAAAGGAATGATCCGTTGATGGGCACACAAGCAAAAAGCTGTTGGAAATAGGAAAGAAAAGTCACAGGAAGGATCGATTGACGGGCACCCGCGCAAAAAAAACTGTTGAAAATAGAAAAGCAAAAGTAGTGGCTTATAGTAGCAGAAAGGAGAGAAGAGTTTTGTTTGTTTGTTTGTTGTCTCTGCTCTAAATCTACAGCAGAGAGAGAAAAGATTTACTGCAGAAGCGAGAGAAAGTTTTTTAGCAGAAAAGAGAAAAGATTTTACAACAGAAAGGATAGTAGAGTTTTTTGTTTGTTTGTTGTCTCTGCTCTACCTTTTCTCTGTCTGTGGGGGGTGGGTAATCAGCTTAAGTTAAATTATAATTTATATTTATTCAACTACCCGGTGGCCGGGTCGGTAGTGTGCCCGCCTTTAGGCAGGAGGGCACAGGATCGACCCGACCACTGGAAAATTAATTTATTAATTTCGTTTTTAATAATGGCCTTTTGACTTTTAGGCGTTTTAACTTTTGGGCATTTTGTCGCGTGGCATTTTGTCGCGTGGCAATTTGTCGCGTGGCATTTTGTCGCGTGGCATTTTATCGCGTAGCGTTTTGTCGCGTGGCATTTTGTCATGTGGCAAAAGGTATGGATTACGTCATCCTTATTTTCTCTGCCCGTCTCTTCAGGGGCGGGGCGATAATCAATCAATAAAAAGAAAGGGATGTTATAGTAGTGAAAGGCTAAAAGGTATTAAAAGACCGGTTAATAAAAAAACCGTACACTAAAAGACCGAGAGGGCCAAAAAGGCACTCTAAATTCTTAGGATTTTACTATTCTAGAAAAATCAAAAATGAACAAGCATAAAAATTTTTTAAAATTGGAAGCATTTAATAAAAAATTATATTCAAATACAGTAGTTTCATACTCTCTGAATTCAGCACTGAACCGACCTAAACATTTGATATTTATTTTTTTTCTCTAGCTACACTATTTCTTTTATAGAATTTCTCTAACTCTTGGGATAAAGTGTCATTTATTTTTAGCATTACATCCCAAATTCTCAACTACCTCAAACATTTTCTTTCTCTACTTGCACATTCTACCTACTTTATAAAGGAGTAAGAGTAGTTATAATACAAAAAGGAACACAAGAGTCTGATAAAATGAAAAGTGGCTTCTTTGAAATTTAATGAGGAAATACAAGAAAATATAAAATTCTTCTTTACTTTTAAATAAGTGAGTTAAAAATGTTTGAGAAAAATAAAAAATATAAAAGCTTATACATAAAATTAATCAAATTGTCTCATTTAAAAACATCCAAACCTCCAAACTTTCTTCTTTCATTACCGAAATGTTTGACTACTTGTTGCATCAATCGGATCACGACTACTTCCAATTTGTTCAGAAAAATTTGTTATTTTAACCCATGGAGCGCTAATTGTAAATTGTGTATCTTCTCTTTTTAAAAATGGAATTGAGTCAAATAAATTTAAAGATAATAGAGACATTGATTGAAGGCACTGGAGAAAAAAATTATTTTTTAAAATAAAAATAATTAGAATTCGGAGTAAAAACGCCTATTCGGGAGTCTTTCTGGTAATTCTTCGGTTCGTACCCCCCACTCCTTTTTCCTTCCTCAAAGTGTTAAAAAATGGTCAGTCAATCTTGTGTTATAGAACTCGTCGAGCTGAGTCGAATGACACCAAAATTGACAAAATCCGACTTACTTGGACCGAGATACAGACCCCTGAATATTGAACAACAACAGGGGCGATTTTTTGAAATGAAAAAAATTTACACAAATGATAGCTCATTTGGAAGAGCTCTTCGAGTTGAGTCGAATGACGCCAAAATCAACTCGATTGGACAAGATTTGACATAGTTATGACATGAAGTATATTTATCGGAGTCGGCGACTTTATGTCATAATTTTGTCAAATCTTGTCCAATCGAGTTGATTTTGTCGTCATTCGACTCAGCTCGAAGAGCTCTTTCGAATGAGCTATCATTTGTATAAACTCTCGAACCCATGGTTTTTCGCCCCTATTGTTGTTCAATTTTCAGGGGTCTGTATCTCGGTCCAATTAAGTCGGATTTTGTCAATTTTGGTGTCATTCGACTCAGCTCGACGAGTTCTATGACACAAGATTGACTGACCATTTTTTAACACTTTGAGGAAGGAAAAAGGAGTGGGGGGTACGAACCGAAGAATTACCGTCTTTCTTATGCAAATGTGCAGCAGCGTATATTCTCTCACATTGTGCCTAATAAAAAACCGGAAAAGTCCCGAAAAAAGAATCGCGTTATAAAGAAGCTGACAGCACATTTTGCCACTTCTTTCTCTGATGCTCCCCATTTCACCACCGGACTTTTCCGGATTTTTGTTAAACACAATGTGAGAGTGTACATACGCAGCTGCACATTTGCATAAGAAAATCGCGAATAGGCGTTTTCACTATGAACTCTAAAAATAAATTTTAAACAAACCGTAATAATCAAATACAAAACAAATGTTATATAAATACTTCCAGGGCCAATTAACATTATCCAAGCCATCCAAGTTCCCTCTAATTCAGCCATTATATAATCAAAAGAAAAATATAAATTAATTGCAATTACTAAAAGTGAAGTAAAAAATGCAAATACCTTTAAAAAATTTAAAAATTTTTAAAAAATTTTTTTCAAACTTGTCCAGTTAATGTTGTACAAAAATCAAACATTATTTTTCGATGTGCAGTAAATGTAATTATTGGTAATAAAGCAAAAGGTAATTGAATCATTTGGACACAATTTAATAAATCATTCATACCCGTTAAATTTTGCACTCCTTGGGTTTTTAAGGCAAGCGATAATGTTGGCACAATTGCTATTGAACGGGTAAATAAAACTCTCCTCCAACGGGGCCATTTGATTTGTAAAAAGCCTTCCATGGTGAATTGACCAGCGTATGTGCCTAAAAATTAAATTAATTAATCAAAGGGCTGAAGGCGGAAACGGCTAATGTAAGGACGATAAGAGGGACCTCCAAAAACCACTATCTTCAAATTTCCCATCCTGACCCGGAAATTTCCAAAAAACCTACTCCCCTAATCTTGAAGTTTCACAGTGTAGCCCGATTAAAATTCAAATATTATATTAAAAACCTGTCATTGTACTGCTCTGACCAGCAGCCATAATTCCAACACCCCAAACATATAGAGCAGTTAATCCAAATTGACAGCCAAGAAAAATTCCTCCTTTGTAAATATCAGCCTCTACAGGGTCTGTATTGTTTGGAAAAAGTTGTCTATCGGGAATTGTGCTTTGGCCCTCGCAGCTTTTGAACTTTAAAAAAAATTTTTTTGAATTGAAGAGTTAAAATTAAAGAAAAAATTGTTTGCCAACCCACAATATCTGCATTCGTTTTTCCATAAAGTCCATGTGCAAATACAGAAACAACAAAAAGATTGATGAAGAAACTACAAGTTAGAGCTATTACACATTCAATAAAATAGTAAAGATTTGCTTCTGAAATATTTCTGCGTTGACTTCTATCAATTTTTCGACTTTTTACTAAAGCGGAATGCCTAAATTTAAATTTTAAAATTTTCAAAAAAAATTTTTAAAAATTTACAAATAAAGGTTATGTGGCATTATAACTGCTCCAACAACACTTATTGCTTGCAAAAATTCTTTTCTGCCACAATCGGGGCAATAAGGAAGTAAAGTGCCAGAAATTAAATCAACAATGTCTGGTTTTACAACAAAAAACTTTTTAAAGAATTTTTTAATTTAAAATTTAAAATTAAAGAAAACCTCAAATCCAAAAGTTATAGCCATTGTAGCAATTAAAAGAGCAAAAATAAATTCCAATTTTCGAAACCCGTAACGGTCAATAAGTAAAAAAGTGAAGGTGTCAACCATGGTGATTAAAACACCAACAAATAGAGGAATTCTGATAAAAATAAATTTAAAAATTTTTTTAAAGAAAACCTTCCATTAGAAAGCAAAGAAAAAGCAATTGCTGTACCTATAACTTCTTGCATGTCGCTGCCTAGAAAATTAAAAATAATTTTGAAAAAAATTAAAAAACAAACATATAATTGCAATTTCAATCATTGACCAGAGAAGGAGACGTGGAAATTTTGGATAGAATTCGTAGGCCATCTCCTGAATTAAAAAATTTAAATTGACATTCATAACGATAAGAGAAACCATAGCGTAGCCAGGGATTTCTATCGGGGGAGGGGGGGGGGGGAAATAGCCCCCTTGGCTACGCACTTAAGAGAAACGAAAAATTATTTTTGGAAAGAAAATCAAGGAAAATCCCCAATCAGACAAAGTTTTAAAAAATATACCGCCATATTTTTCCCTGAAACAACACCCAGACGAGCCGATAACCGCTGCAAAAAAAATCCAAGAATATGAGCCATCAGAAGTACCCAAAGAAGCTAAAAGAATTATTTTATAAATTAATTTGTATTAAAAATTTTTTCATACTTTGTATCTAGCAACAGTTCCAGACTGCAAATCTGACTCGATATTTCCTGAAAAATAAATGTAGAACAAGAAATGCTAGAAATGTCGTTTATGGCCCCTTCTTAGGGAAGAACTTGGGGAGGGAAAAAGGGGCCGTAAACGACAATCAAATCCAAAAACCCCCAAAAAACCACAAAACAAACCTGGATCCAAATAAGCAATGCTCATCAAAAAACCAGGCCCAGTACTTTAAAAATAAATTTTAAAAATTCTCAAAAAAAAAAATTAAAAACTACGTACAATGCCCAAAGTTTCCTCAAACTAAAAATTGACTAAAAAATAAAAAAATATTTTAAAATCAAAATTTAAATTTTCACCTCTCCATCAGTTTCAGGAATAGCCACCATATAATCCAAAGCTTCCTCCTCTGTGCAAATAGACTCAGTCCTTTCATTTTCCGAATTTTGTTGTTGTTCTCTTTTATTTTTTGTTTGCGATTCGGACACTTCTTGTTGGTTATTATTTATTCCAGTCATTTTTAGCAGAGTTTTTTTGATGTCAAAAGGCACAGAATTTAAATTTTCTTTTTTAAAAAATAAAAAAAAATTTGTAAAAAAAGTAAATTAGTGATTCAAGGTGGAACAGAAAGAGAGGAAAAACGTTACTTAACATTATTAGAAACAATTTGATAAGAACACATATTGATTCCCCTACTATTAAAAATGTTGCATATCACAAAAAAAAAATTTTTTTTAGGAAAAAAATTTTTTTAAAAAACGAATCATACTCAAAATTAAAAATTTTAAAAATCCAAAAAATCAGAATGCCAACAAAAATATAAAAATAATTTTTTAAATATTTTTAAACTGATGATCCCTAAAATCAAGGTAATTTTGATCAATATCTTCAATAAAATTATAAAAAATTGTCAACATTATCCTATAAGGGAATTATAACTGTAATCTTTGAACAAATATGCACCTATTTTTATATACCTAAATACATATATTAAATTTATCATAATAAGAAATTATCGATTTTAAAAGTTAGTTTGATTGTCGGGTACCAAATACTTTTAAGTGAACAATTTTAGTTCAATTGTTATCTTTATCATTCCATTAAAATGTTAAACATTTAGGAAAAAAAATATTTTTTACGATTTTAAGGGCCAAAAATAAAATATTTACTAAATTATCTAAATAATATTAACATAATCCACGTTACATAATTTAATTTATGTTTTTATTTTTTTTGAAGAAAAGGAATGTTTAGTCCTAGTCATAGTTAGTTTAGAAATGTCAATACTGGGTATTTGTAAAGTTTAAATAAAAATAAAAAAATAACAAAAATTCTTTTCATTTTTACTGTGAGAAAAAAGGGGGAAAAAGTGAGTGCTTCCCGAGTGATTAATTTTAGATTACTCATAAGAAGGGATTAAAATGGGATAAAAATCGAAATAAATCGGCTTTAACATGCTTCAATTAAAACAAAATTTTAATAAATTTAATAAAATATTCTACCTATTCTATGTTGCTGGTCATTTGTTTGTTTAATTCTAATAGTTGGTTGGACTGTTAATAACAATTGCGATCGCTTCTGATCTCCGTTATTCACGCCACCCTTCTTTTTTGTACCTCTTCCTGGAAAAAGACAAACAAATAAAAATTTTTTTTTATTTTTTAGTAATTGAAAAAAGGGCCCACGTAATGCAAATAACCAGTTTTCCTTCCTCTCTCTCCCGAAATCCAATAAAAATTTTGGGCGCACTTGATCTCTCAGCGGAACTTACCCACACACTCTTTTTACAAAACAAACAAAAAAATAATTTAAAAATTTCAAAATTGCACAAAAACAAAGCAATTTTTAACCAAAGATTGAAAATTTAATCATTCAATTTTAAATTGAATCAATTAAAAAAAAATATTTTATAATTGAAAACAGGAAATTTAAGAAGTTTAAGAAGCTTTGGAAATTATAAAAATTAAATTCTAGTCAGTTGGGGGGATTAAGAGGGAAAAAGTTTGGAAGACTTCTAGGACCGGATTTCAGAGGAGGGGGGGGGGTTGGGTAAATCGTGAGATATCTCTGTGACTCAAATCTAGGATAACCTTCTACATTCAATTTACTCCAAAATATCAATAAATAAAAAATTCTAACACCTTTATCAACTTCTTGATCATTTAACATTCCATCACGGCATGTTCCATAGGCACTAGGATTTTGTTTAGAAATTGTTGATAATTTTGATAAAGAGGAGGATGAGTCAAATAACCATGATTTTTCATCAATCTTAGGCTCATCTCGTTTCCAAAGATTCATTTTAGAAAATTTTAAAGATTGAAATTTAAAAAATCAGGGTCAAAAAATATTCAATGAATTTGAAGAAAATCAATTAAGATAGGTATCTTAACAATATTGTATGAGAATAAAATATATAATGGTTGATAAAATTTACAAAAAAAACTGATAAGAATTATAGAATCAAATAATAAAAATTTAATTAATTCTTTGGGGTTTGAGCATGATGCAAAAGCTAAATTTATTTTAATTATTTTTAAAATTTTTTTTAAATTTTCGCTACACCGACACCTTCTAAATTCATTTTTTGTTAATATTTTTTTAATTTTTAAAATCTTCCATTGTACAAAAAATTTCATTTTTTTGCACTTTAAAATATACAAAATCTCATCATCTCTTACGCACATATTTTTCATCTTCACTCAATTAGGGGGCCATTTTTTTAAATTAAAAAGAGAATTTGGTGAATTCAAAAATAGGGGGAAAAGGTGACAGCCGATGGGAACGCATCGTCATAGGAGGGGAGAACGTTCTCGCACGTCTTGGGAGGCTTTCGTTGGTTTGCGCGCTCACATCAAAACTCGCTGTGTTTTTGGTCCTCCCTCACTCAAATCAACCAGTAATCAACACAAGATCAATGCCCTCATCACAGGAAAAGGCTGGCGCAGTGATCGCTACTAAAATTAGCTATCGACACCCGAGAACGTTGACACCAAAAGAAAAAACTGCATTATCTGAAAACAAATTTAGAGCGACAAAAACTAAATCTGCTATTTCAAAATTGTATTTTTCGGTATTATTATTTATCTTCACATGTGTGGGTGTTCCAGAATTTCAAAATAATGGTTCGCCGTTCTAAATATTTAATTAAAATATTTATTTTATTTATCAATTTACTTGAATATTTTCAAGTCTATGCTGTACCTTCTCCTGTTGGACCTTGCACTATAAATTCGGGAATTGATGGATTTCCACAAATTTCACTTCCAAAATTACCCGGAACAAATCCTAGGCTGAAATGTACTGATAAAGGTGATTAATCTTTAGAAATCAAGAATATTTTTCTCTGAAAAATCTAAAGAAATCTATAAATTGAAGGATATTTCGAGTTGATACAATGCTTTTCGGATTATTGCGTTTGTGTGGATCCAAGCACAGGTAGCTTGAAAAACTAATGAACGTATACGGATGATCTCCCTTTAATGATAATGATTTAATACTTAAAAATAAAAGGTGCTGAAGCAACTTCTACAAAGACTTTATCAAATCGAATAAATCCAGAATGTGGTAGATGCTACAGATCATTAGCCCGTTATTACAAGGACAGCGATGATTTTCTGTTCCGTCCGTTGTGCGATCCAAAGACTGGTACTAAACTGTAGAAGGATTAAAAATTAATTTTTTCAGGTAACTATCTCCCCAAGCAGTGCAAAGATGAGAAACATTGTGAGTGCCATCCGTAATTATCTAGTATTTTCTATAAACACAGGTTTCTGTGTGAATGTACTTAATGGTCTCAAATTGAGCAAGGATGAAAAACCAAATTCTCAGACTACTTGTGATGATGTAATCTCTCTTAATCAACCTTAAATCCCCTTTTAAATTTCATCTTAAAGGGGCATTTTGATTTTTCAATTGGCGGAGGAATGCTTACCAAGAGTGAGAAATTACCAAGTGGTATAACAATCGAACAACGTATTCCGATTGGAAATCCTCTTTGCAAATTGCCTAAAGACTCAGGTGAAAACCGTTGCAATGGTAAAGGAAAAGGAGTAAAGGTAGGTTAAAGCTAGAAATTCCGAAAATATTTTAATAAATAGTGGTATTTTGATGTTGATACATTTGAATGTTTAGCCTTTAGCTATAACGGGTGTGGTGGAAATAAAAATCGGTTTGATTCAGTAACTGAATGTTGGGATCAGTGTAGACTAGGTAGAACGAAAATTTTTAAATTAAGGCATATTTACATAAATGTTTTTAGCGGATATGGCCGGATGCGCAGGGATGACACTTCCTGCAACAAATACTCATGGACATACAATTGTATGTTCCAGTATGGAAGCAGGAAGTGCCCCTATACAAAGCTGTCCGGCTGGTTATCGTTGTACAATGCTTGCATTTATGGGGTTTATTATAACTATTTTTAATTATTAAAAAACTAAATTTTGTGAAGTGTTTGTTGCCATTCCGCTACTCAAGGTGCGATTATACCTTTTACACCTTTCTTACTTCTGAAGCTTGTTTAAGATCTTTATGAACGAAACTACCGACCTTCTTGTGTCAATGGAAAGCATCCCCTATTAATGGAAGCTGGAGGGACTCCTGCAAACCTAATAGGTACGGAAAAGACATTATAATCTCAAAGTTTAGATTCAGGCAAAAAGTGCACTGATAACTTTTGTCCTTCTAATTCAAGTTGTGTTGAAAAAGAAATTTTTGCTCATTGCTGTCCTCGATGAGGATTAAAGAAAGTAACGATTCTCTGAAAATTTTAGATAAAACAATATTTTCACTTTCTCAAAATTCTCGGTTTTTATTATTTTGATGAATACTTATTTTTCCTTGACAAATAAGCTTGTTTTTAAAAGTTTTAATATTACAAATGACCCAGAACCCTTAATAAGCTAACCGGCTGTCAATAAAAAAGTAACGTTTACATTCTTTAAATGACCAACGTTTTGCTTCCTTTGCTTTGCCCTTTTTTGAAGGAAAGACAAGTGCATTTCCGTCTGCCATTTTGAACAATCAATCCTTTTTTATGCTTTGAAAAACTGCTCCCGACGGAGATGGATGCGAAGAATGGGCAAAATAAAGAAAAGAAAGTGTTTTTTTGGAAATGAAAAAGTGTCGAGCAGCTGCCAAACCCTTTGCCCTTTCTTTTTCACGCAAAAGTATATTTTAAACTAAAAAAACAACACCAGAAATGACTGAAATTTTTGTTTAACAAGGCATTCACTTTAATGCCAAAGTTTGCTTTTTAAAAACAGATGGGTTTAGTATATCGGACATTTAAATTTCATCATATACATACATATTCCTCTTAACATTTTTAAAAATAATTTAAAATTTAAATGATACAAAGTGCCGAACTTCCTTGTTCAGTGAGTTTCTTAATTTAACTTAATCTATTCTTCCTTAATTTACAGCTTAGACCCAAAAAACTAGACATTCGTCGACTATTGCTTGCCCACTTTCATTGGTTTATAAATTTTTTAAAGTTAATTTTGAGTTACCAAAAATTACAGGAAATGCCTTATTTGTTCCTTGTTGATAAGCTTATGTTCTATTCACATTAGTTATTGCCAGATTTATGGGCCTAAAGGTATTCAAGACGCATTAAGGTATGCATGCCTCAATGACTCGTATTTCTAAATAAAATTTTAATGTGAATTAAGTCAATCAGCTCCTGGGCCCTGCTCACATGGATATGATCTGATTCCAATGGCATTAGCTGGATTACTATATGCAATTTATCTGAGCGAATGCTGGTTTGAAACTATCTGACCCTTTTTATTATCAGAATTATATCAAAATAGGCATTATCGAACGCTTTTGGGTATTATACCTCGGATGGGTGCCAGTCAGGCTAAGGACCTCGCATCAGCAATGAGAGATGCCGTCCCAATTGTTTGGTGGAAAAGTACGAGCTATCACTATTTGCGTAGAACTCGACGAATAATTCGGTTAATATGATCGATTAACATATCAATGAATTCATTATATCCAGATACCGTAATGGTGATGCAACCACTCGAATCCAAGTTTTCTATGAAAGAGTAAACTCACACCAGTCAGGCAATGTTTTCCTTTCTGAACAATGTGGGCATAAGGCAAGGTGGATCAATCTTTAATTTACCAACATATCCCTTAAGGATCTAACTAAAGAACTAGATGGTCTTGAAGATTTTGCTGTCATACGCATGCGTTTTACCAAGGGTTTCTTATTTGCGACAGTAGAAGCTGCTAATGAATTTGAGGAACAACGCACACGATTTTTTACGGAAAATGAAATGCTAGATGAATATATGGAGGCTAGTAATTGTGTCAATAGTCTTGAAAACATTTTAAAATTAAGGTCCGAGAAGGACTTGATTTGGCCAATTTGCCATTCCTCGAAAGGGTATTAGTTATCAGAGATAAAACTAATGACCAGAGACAGCAACGTCGTCGAAAAGCTCAGATTCTGAATAATAATAATAATTTGACAAGAGCGCCAGATGTTTTAAATCCCACTCATGGCCAAGAACAACAAGAGGAGCAACATACACTACTTTCACCTCGCACCTCATCATTAAACGACCCTTGGTGGCTGTCACCATGGGTATTCTGGCCAGCAAGTATTCTTCTTCTCAGTTGGCCATTACGAGTATTATCATAATAAGGCATTACATAGTTTTATATTTCTAGATGCTAGCTGAATATAAAACTGGTTATGTACACCTCCAAGTGTGTAAATTATTTGGCACTAACTATTTGAGGCAGCTACATTCACATTATAATTTGTTCCTAATTCTATATTTTATTTAGCCCTTCTAGCATTAATTATACTGGTCCATTAACTCGCACATCCACGATGGATAGTCATGAGTTGAGCATGGCAAACCGTCAGAACTATGTCGTAGTTCCAAGCTATAGTGAAGCGATATTGCTTGACCCATATAACAACGCTCAATTGCCTAATTCTGGAAGATCCCAGGTGACTAAAACTGTACAAATATTCGAATCTTCTTTTAGTTTAATCCAAGTTCACTGCTTCGCCAGTTATTTTCTTCGCCTCATAGGTCATCAACAGCTCGACAGCAAGTTAGACAAGGTCAATATGGGTCAACAGGACAACATTTTATGTTAAGGAGGGGTTATGGCGAAGGTTCACCAAAACCATTGAGACCCTCACGCAGCGCAACCATAGCTTGTTTCGATTCAAATGAAAAATTACAAGTACCTAACAATGCAAACCGCAGACATCTTCCCCGTCCATCAACATTATTCGACAGACGACAAATCCAATTTCCACGTTCTATAACATTTTCAGAAGGAATAGGTCCGAGATATAATAGTCTATCTAATGAACAGCAAAATATTGGAGAATGTTCGGACAGAACACCCCTTTTACAACAACATTTAACAATGGAAATAAATGAGCAACCTCCTCAGGATGGTGAACCTCCACCACCATATGAGGCAATTTTAAATTAATATAATCCATTCTGATTTATTTAAAACTTGATAGATTGCCCTACGTTATTGTTCGCCAATCTATCAAAGATTACAGCAATCAGCTCATTCAATATCCTCGCTTTTTTCGTGGTCAAGAAGGGTGTCGCATACTTAGATTTGAAAAAACTTGTTAAAGTATTTCAATAGAATTTTATTTGACAGCTCAAGCTCTAATGAAAACTGCTATAAAATATAAATATTTGTAGTTGAAAGCGGATCTGCTCATGGACATGGATCCATAGTTATCTTGATATTATCTGTATCATATCCGTGAGCAGGTCTTAACTAAAATTGAAATCGAAAGCCTTTAAGGAGTTCAACTACAATACATAAATACAATTAAATTAGAAAAATAATATATTTAAATCTTCTTAATAATTAAAATGGAATTTTTAGATAATTAATGAATGGCACATTAAAAGATTATAAGTGAAGATATTAGCTGTTATTTAAGTGAGCGTAAATGTGGATAGATTGCTTTTACATAGTTTTAGGAATAAAAGACAGATTTATGATTAAGTTAATCTTGGAAGGGTTGGCGGTTTCGGGTATACGGAACCGAAAATCCCACGGATATCCGTGAATTTTCGGTTCTGATATCGGTTCCAGATATCCAAAGATTTCCCAGGAACCGCCGACCTTGATCTTAGGGAGAGAATGAGCAAAAAATCTAGGTATATGGCCTTCAAACAAGTCTATTTTTACGTTCATAAAATGCAACAAGATCATAAATAAATTTGTATTGTTGGGGATTTTTGACAAGTGACCTTAAATTTAAAAAAATTAAATAATTAAAAGTAAAGACAAACATCCGTTGATATCTCAAGTCTCTAAGAAGTTGTGCAACCTCTAATGTCTAAAGAATAATACATAAATTAGCTATGAACTTTTAAACTCACAATATTATTTTCCATGCTACGGATTAGCACTTCAGAGAGCAAATAACTTAAAAATTAGAATAAATAGGGGAATAATTTAAAAAAATTAAAATCATCCTTACAGTCCACTATCGCTACCTCCATCGGTACATTGGATAATAGTCAGAGGTCCTTGGCTTAAATATAAAAAAACATTAACGTTTATTAACTTGATGGAACCTAGCATTTTGTTGTTGAACATCAATGCTTTGTTGCTGATGTTTAGGTGATGCGTTAGATGATTGCTTGCTTGAAGCTCCGTTTTGATCAAAACGAAGTTTCTTTCTGGCCCAGCCACCACTCTCTGAAGATTGAGCTCGTTCACAGCGAGAAGCATCACTTGACTTTAAAAATGAGTTAATTAAATAAGTCAAATTTTAGATCCAACTCGGCTATCTTTAGATGTATTAGAGTTGGATTTGCTAACAACAACTGAGGATTGCGTCCCTTTTGCATCAGTTAAATCCTTGTTGTGATCCTCTTTTGTTTTAATTTCATTTTGAATATGTCTTTTGAGACAAGAGGCTGCATCAATAAGTCCAATAAAGGTATCCTAAACATAAGAGAATTTGAGAAAATCTGCTGAAACAAAGCTCCACCCTTACAGGTGCCAATAATTTCTATTCAAAAACCCCTTTAAGATTAAGTACCATAGATGATGGAACTCCTTGTTCAGTAAAATCAGCACAATATAAATGATAAATTGTACGACGTTCGCCATGTCTGGCAAGAGTAAAAGTAGTTGTTTGTTGAAACATCTGCATTTGAGCAGGCTGGCTAACATTCTTAAGGCGGAGGAAAAAATCTCCAACAGTTAATTTAGCTTTAGCCTGGCTAGGAATATAGCTTGGGATTGTATCGTTTTTGTTGACCTGGTGAGGATTGACAAGCATTACTAAAAATAATTTATGTGAATCAACTCAATATTATACTAAAAACCAATTAATCTTGCTCCAGTTTGCCAAACCATCTGCCAGAAATCCTCAATAGTTTTCTGTATGGGTGCTTGAGAGATGACATAACGCAATTGTATGTTCCTACCGATAGGAACAACAACCTCTGAAGCATTAATGTAACCTTAAATTTTGATTATCAATTCAAAATTGAGGGAATTCAGACCATCTGGGTTAGAATTTGTAACAGCCAATTTTAATCTATTTTCGTTATATGGATATATTTTGCTTCCTCTATTTCTAACCAAATTGTGCGATCGGACAGCGACTGAATAATCAGCTGATAAACTTTTTGCTGGAATTCCGGAAAATTCAATTTCTGCAAATTCAGGCAAAGATTTTGATTGATCTACACTGTTATTGACACCATTATTTGGCTAAATTTTTAGAAAATATTATTTAAAATAGTTCAAAATATAAACCATTTGCGTTTCTGAATGTGACGAAGTTGCATTGGATTTTGGACTAGATCGTCGACTTTCCTCTTGTAAAGGGATAGCTGCCGGGGAAGGTGGTGAATTTGTTGTTGGAGGGTAACCCTGTACGGTAAGTTGAGGGGGAATTTGAAGAGCTGATACATGTCCCAATTGGGGTGATTGCTGCAGTATTTGTTCCATGATTGATGTAGAGGAGGGTGGTGGCTGGACATACGAAGCAGCATCTGGCGGTATTGGATAGATAATAGTTTGTTGCTGACCATTCTCGTCGATTACTTGTCCTTGAGAAAAGGTCCCATTTCTCAGAGCGATTGGACTGTTTTGTAGATAGAAGGATGTATTGCTACTGCCTCCAACGTCTGGATTAATATTGTGATGAGATGTGGTTGTAGATGAAGGTGGGCAATAAAGGGGCAACAAATTAACATTATTTCCAGCAATTGGAGGTGGGTAAACAACGGAAGAAAGTGAAGTTTGGCCTGGAACAATTCGATGACCCCCAGAGCCATTCATTTGCGAAGGTGGAAGTAAAGGTGTTTGAGGCTGTGATTGAGGTTGTTGTTGTTGTAATAATTGAAAGCTTGCAAGTTGTTGCTGCTGGTTTAAACGTGCAGAATGTAGATCTGGTGTAGATGTAAATATCTTGCGCGTTAGCGAGAAATTGTTGACATCGGCAACGAAGTTATTAGCATTTATTGCCCCTCCAATTTGATGTTTTTTGCATTTAGCCCCAGATGCTGCTGAGACACTTTTGCCCAAAGTATTAATTTCAGGACTAGAACCAATCTAAAAAAGGAAGGGAGGTTAATAAACAAGCTAGTTTTACTTTATTAAGTCGACGTCTTTCCGTCAACATTCGTTTAAGCACTTCATGCTGTTCATGACGTAACCAATCCTCTTGACTTCCATTTGAAGTTTTTTGTTGCTGGACTGCTGCAGCAGGAAATTGTAGAGGAACTGCTGGCACATAAAATGTTGATGCACTGCTTGAACATGTGCCAGCGACTGGAGGCGAAACCTTATCAGTAACATTAATAATCTGAGTCCGAATAAATGGAAGAGCTGAGGAACTGTTTGATCCACCAGCCATAAAATCAGCTGAAGCTGGAGGCAATATTTTGCCGATAGAAATTGAACGGGAGGCAGAAAGGGCGGCTAAAAAATTTACAAATGTAATAAAAAATAACTCAAATATTTTTACAATTAGCCTGAGGAGGTCGAATAGGATTGCAGGATTGTATAGAATTAACTGTAGATTGGCTATTCTGATCTGTACGAATTGTTAACTGAGGTGTTGAAGGTTGGGGCGGTATAAACTGTGAAGCACCAGCAGCTGTAAATTCAGAACCTACAATCATTTCAGAATTTGGTCGTACGGAATTAACCTTAATATATTTTGAATTTTCAAAAGTATTTTTGGTAATACATTTGTATTGGATCGACGGGTAAATGAGCCTGGTGCTTGGCTGAATGAGGGAAGGGCACCCTGCAAATTCTGAACGCTTAATCTGGCACTTCTTTGTTGTAGCGCGTCTGTACGTGCATGTCTCCACTTCCAACTAAGTACAGTAGATACATAATTACACTAAATATTTTAAATTAAATTTCTTGATAATTCACAAAAAAATAGAAAAATAAGCACCATTTCATTGTCCTCCTAAAAATTAAGAATCATAAGTATAACTAAGCTTGGCACAAAACTCACAAAATAAAAGACAGATGTAACTAAATTTTCCCCACATTTTATTGATAATTTGCGTTTATTTGCTACCAGCTCGCGCACTTCTTCCCATCTTAAATTTATAATGAAAGCTGTAATGATTTTGAATTTTCCTGAACCTAAATTTTTGTGTTGTTCCACTCGGTCTACGAATAACAAAAATCCAATCAAGTGAACAGCCGAGTGTGATTTCTTCGAGCGAATTTCCATCCTATGAAGAAAGGTAATTTCAGTAAGGGCTTTAAGGCTTTACTCACTTTACAAAAGAAAGTTTCTTCACCGTAACCCTCGCATTGTTGAACTTCCACCTATGGATTTAGACAATTATACCCTAAATTATTCAGAAGCTAAACTTACAATGTAAAGAAGGGCAGCATAAGCTGGTTGCATTGTATGAAGCTTTTCATATGTCTAAAGTCAGGAATTTTAGTTATAAATTGGTTTAAGTTAATTAGACTTGCCGTCAAAATGCGCAAGTATGTCTCATCATTATTAATCTTAGGATTTCGGCACATACTCTACATATATTAGATTTTATTTATAAAATAATAATTGTATCTACCTGAGGCAACAGACTGAGCATTTTGAGATGCTGAACAGTTGGCCTAAAATCGGGAAACTCGATTTGGAGCTGATAAGCTGCTGAAATAGTTAAAATCAAGGATAAATTAAAGGCCAATGAAGGCAAACCAAGGTTTATGCACTTGTCCAAATCAACTGAAAAACGTTCGCCTTGAAGCACATCCCACTTTAGTAATGTGTAATAGATAGATCTGAAAGATGGGTAGCGAGAATCTAACTTTAATTAAATCCGACTTGCCTAGAAACCGAGTCATGAAGAGTGAATACCTTAAACATTCAAAAAAATTAGCTTTAATTACTCTAATAAATCTAGAGCTCACATTGGAACATGCATGAAGTATAGCTAGGTTTACTGCCCATTTTTGGCCCCTACGACAAGCCCAACGCTCAAGTTGCCGTCGGATTGGCCTGCCTGGCTCAATCCACCGCATCATCCTCTTCTCAGTATCCGTTGCCTTCATTTGATATTGAAGACCAAAAATTTTTGGCTAAAGTTTTAGTATATTTATTAAAATTTTAGCAATATTTTGCCTGTCCTAATCCAGTCTTTTCCCCAAGATAACGAAAAACGTCAGCAGATGTTGATGCACTGTTTAGTGTACACTGAAAAACGTACAATTATTAAGATCAGGCTTATAGCAGTCTATCAGGGGTGTGTCTTTCGCCAAAATTTCGGTTTTGATGGTCCGTCTTTCGTTTTTTAAAATCCGTTTTGGCACACCACTGTCATCTATAAAATTTTACCTGTGCCATGGGAAAGTCGCCAATGAAGACAGTGAGAATCTGTAGGGATAAATTTTTAATGTCATTTTTAGTCAAATTAGGTCTCGAAAATGACTTCTTATCGAGATTCAACTTGTAGCTTTTAAAATTTTTTTTTCAAAATTATTACATAAATATCCTCGCTAAGTTCATATCGTCCACTAGATCGTCCCAACTTTAATTTCAAAGGCATCCGAAGCATTATTCAAATTTAATAATTTATCCTCATTCTAATAACTAAAAAATTGGAAAGCTGAACGTCAAAATATTTATAAAAACGCGTTGATCAATGCTGATATATGTATAACTCTCACATTGCAATTTATACAAATAATGTGAAATAAAAAAAGAGGAGCAGGGGACAGGGCAATTAATGAATGATGATCATTTCTATGAGATGTAAAAATGACACGCAAACATTAAATATAATCATAGGAATGTAAATAAAAATATTTAACAATAAGTTTAAAATATGTTAAACACACACATACACACAAATATTTTTAAAAAATTAGTGGCAATGAATGGATAAAAATTCCTGGTTAAATTCCTAATACCTAAAAATATTTAATTAAAAATATGCTCAAATTTTTATAAAAATATAAACTAAATTTTTCGACAGCGGATCTGCTTTATCTGGTCTGGTTCATCTATTGAATTCTATCCTTATTAAAAAATTTTCTTGGCTAAATTACCATATTTGACGATTAATTTCCTCCGAGGAATTAATATTTCAACGAATCCGCGTGAGGGTATTATTCGATGAAGGGGAATTACTATTCGAGTTTTGAAATTCTAACGGGCAATAGAGCACCTGGGGGAGGAGAATTATTTCAACCCATATTTGGGATGTAGAATTATTAAGAGTGGGGAACTATTCGAGGGTGGGGAATAGCTCGCGTAAATACTCTATTAAAAATTGAAGGTGGACTATTTATTAAATTTGGTATTAAGAAAAGGATAAAATTTTTGATAATTATAACCAGCCGGTAATAAATATAGAAGGAAGCTTTGAAAATATTTGATGGAAAACTTACATACAAGTAATCCTCTAATTTTTATAAATTTTATTGCCGTAAATTTTTTATTTCTTAATGTTACTAATTTTGGAAGACATTTTAAATTATAAGAATATTTTTAGTTGATTGAGTAAATATTGGTTGGTAAATTCCAGAGGGGAATTAGAGCAAAAATATTTACGGAAAAGAGAAATTCATAAAAACATGCAAAAGATAAGAACAAGAAAAAAAAATAAATTCCTAAAAGATGAACACAAATTGGGGAAGAATATTTGGCAGTAAATATAATAAAACTAGATAAAAAATTTTTATTTTTCTAATAAATTGCGCATAGCTTCGCTAGCTTCTGAAAGCTTTAAAAACCGATATAAGTTTTCGACAATCAACAAACAAAAATTTTTTTTATTTTCAGTTGTAGCAATCGAATATATGTATTTAACTAAACGACAGAGGGGGAAAAGACAAAAATTCCATAACCCCTCACATTCCCTTTCTCTCAAATAGTTTACCCCAGGGCTCCGATTCGTACTTTTTTAAAAGTATTGTACTTTTTTATCGACCTTCGTACTTCCGAAATTGAATTTGTACTTTTTTGAAAGTATGTACTTTTTTATCAACATTTTTGAAAAAACGAAGAAATCTGGCTTAAGGACCTCCAAAATTCTCAAAATTTTCGCCTGCGGCGCAAAAAATGGAAGAAATCTGGCTTAAGGACCTCCAAAATTCTTAAAATTTTCGCCTGCGGCGCTGAAAAAGAAGAAATCTGCTTCTTAGGCTCCAAATTTCAAAAAATTTTCGCCTGCGGCGCTTCTCAATGGCAAACATTCAATGGAGAAACTCGCTTGAGGTTAAGACTGTCAGAGCTTTGCTTCATGTGACAGCAAATTTTGACATGTCAACAAAATGCTCAGTTGAAACAAGAAATTATTAGAAAAGATTAATTTAAGAGAGAAATATAAAAGATCTGATCACGAATAAATATTTTCAAATTTAATTTTGAGTGTACTTTTTATTTGTAAATTTTCTCCCTATGTACTTTTTTTACAAGATTTTGATACTTTTGAGTGGCATTTTGTCGATCGGAGCCCTGGTTTACCCCCATCATATAGCGCATTCCTAAATTCACATAGCCGCAGCGCTTCACAGCACAATCATCTACAAACATGGTAATACTTATGGTTGTTGACTGCTCCGCATTCCATCGACCGGACGACCACTTTTGCCCGTTGAATAAAGGGTTTGGTAGAAGTGAAGCAAAAGTGGCTCTGCTAGAAGGCAAACAGCTAGTAGTAGTGAAAAGCGAGCGCAGCGATCGACAACGATGAAAATGCGTGGGAAATCAATGAAGCAAATATTATATAAAGTCGATGTGAAAATATTTTTGGAGGTAATAATAGTAAGGTCATTTATAAAACACTACTAAATATCGTTTAATGAAATAATCTTGCTGGTCACTACCAATTAAAATCATATAAAAATGCACTTTATCAAAAGATAAGGAAAATTAAAATTGTTTGTCTTGAAGCTTTTTCAAATTGTAGTATAAAATTTAAAATTAACACGAGCTTAGAAATTAAATTTAATAAAGAAGGGGACTTAAACTATAAAATAGATCCCCTTCTGCCAATGATGAATTGTGCGACGAAGCGATTGGACTTTCCCCAGTTATTATAGGATTACAAGGGGAGATCTAGTCCCTTAGGCACTTCCCAACACCGAACACATCATGTGTGTTCCGGAATTAAATAATAAAAAGATTTTATTCAAGCAATTTTCTCTTTGAAATAAAAAAATAACAAAACAAACGGAAATTTTGTATAAAAAATGTTCCAGAAAATTGTAGACACAATTATACATTTAGAGGAGGTTGTAATAAACACTGAAGATGGAGTCCAAAAATGTCTTAAACTCTAAAAAAGTACCTAAATATCAGAAAAAACTTCTTGAAATCAAAGACTCCATCCTCTAATTTTTTACTAAAATGTCTAAATATTTAAATAAAACGATTTTTTGGTAAAATTGGGATAAATCACAGCGGAAACTAAATAAGCCGGAATGCGCTTAATAAATTAGCTAATAAAATTACTTTTGATATTATATCAGAAACGAAGGTTCATCCAGGGCTGGGCTAATTCCGCATCTTCCAGCGCAAAGTTTTAATTTCGCTTTTTAATTTTAGATTTAGTCTAGCCCTGGTCCATACTTAATAAATAAAGGATAAAGTATGTATAAATGAAAAAAGTGACTGCCATACATAAAAACGAGCAAAAATAAGATTAGAAGCATCACAGGATTCTAGAGAATCAGAAATTAAAGACCTTGACCTTGATTTTGGTTGAGGACCTTGACTAAATTCTTGACAATGGGTCAAGGAAAAATCAAGGAACACCGAAAAATGCTTTGATCTTAACTCTGGTTTTAAGAAAAATAAAGGACTGGATTCAGATCTAGACTGATCTTATTAGGATTCATTCCGAAAATTTTGTTTGGCAGCCCTGGAAGAAAGAAAAAAAGTGATAATATGCTAATATCATTGAAAAACATTAAAAAAGGTGAGTTTTGGTACTTTAAAAACAAGAATAATATTTTTAAATTAAATTAAAAAATACCAAAATACAGAGAAAGAATAGAATATTCCAATTTTGAAAAAGAGTACCTAATCCATAGAAGAAATGAGTCTGAAAATAACTTGATTGATAAAGTTCAAACGTCAACCAAAGCAATGAATTTCACTTGTCTTTCTGAAAAAATTTTTTACCAAATTTTGAACATAAAAAACAACTCCCGGACATTTGGGAAATGGCACATGGAAAGTAAGTGGACAATTGGGCAGGGAACAGAATTTTGTAAATCTATTGGAATGGGCGAGATGCTTATGCAAAACCCAGAGCAATGGGGTTTTGTTTTTAGCGGCACATAGCTGGAATCAACGGATGCTAGATCCAAAAAATAACCCTATTTCTATCTCGTTACGTCTGACATAAGGGTGACTTATTGATAGTCAACAATTGTATCAAATGCCCAAATTCCTAAGTATCCACTCCCCAAATATCCGGACACAAAAAAAAAACTAACGTCACTGCCAGAACTCGTTTTCGCAGCCTTCTTGTTCTTGAAACCAAATCCACTGCTTTTCTTCTTTCCAGCAGAATGAGCAGCCTGTTCACGGCCCTTTTCGCGCCATCGACCAATGTGGAAGGTCGAAAAATTGAATAACATCCAAAGTTGAATTAATACAATTGCAATTAAACTATTTATGCTTAAAAATTAATAAAAATATTAGATAAATTAAAATTAATTTTAAAACCGAATAATTTTTGTGTTAAAGTTTCCTGCCTCAAAATCAATAAAAACAACTTCACTTTGTCTGTGTCCATACCAGAGAGCAATGACACCAAGAACAATTGAAACTAAAAAATGATTTGATTATACCCAGAAATTCTAATAAATATTTAAAAATTTACCAAGACGAGTAATTAGAAAAACGAAATTCCATGGCTTAAATCTAAAATTTAACAATTAAAAGTAACAAAAATTAAAAAAATACGCAGTAGAAGCAGGGAGAACTTTTCCAGAAAAATATAGAAGACGGCTTGTATGGAAGATTCCTTGAGACAAGTATTCAAAAGATAATAAAACGAGTCCAAGACGAGTAAAACTAAAAAAATTAGAATAAAAAATATTTAAAGAACAAACTTTGCAAAATAAAAGAAACAAGAAGCCGTTATGAAAATTGTGAGGTAAACAAGTCTATTGAAGATTTCCTCACGTTTCAATTTTTGAAAATAAAATTCTGGAATTTGATGAAGCCAAAATGATATCTTGAAAGAAAAAAGGTTACTTTGTCCATATCCCACCCCTAATATTTAAAAATGAAATTAAAAACCTGAAAAATGTAGTAAAGTTTGGTAGAAAGGGAAAAATGCCGATGAAGTTCTGGATAACCAGTCCAAATTCGTGTCTAAAATAATAAGAATTTAAAGAAATTTAAAGTTAAAAGTTACCAAATCTTTGTGAATTTCCATTTCATTTAAAATGCTAATAGCGTGGCAAATAGAATAAATGCTAAAAACTGCCGTGTGACCGCTCTCGTTGAATTTAACTTGACGTGTCTTCGACAAATGAAGACGTCGTTGAACTTTATCAAAAATATATTCCTGAAGTGCACAGTGAACAGCGATCCAAACAAGAGTATAGAAGAAAATTGTAAACAAATCACGAACCCCATTCCTGTAAAGGATCCTTGATTCTTAAATAAAAAGTTTTTAGAGAAAAAATATTAGAGAAAGGTAAACGTTGAGCTTACTGGTCCCCAGAAAAAATGAGGAAATGCTTTCTCAATATTTTTCAGGATTGCCAGTAAGTAATCAGCGCTGACACCGAAGCTGAGCTTAAAATTTGTTTATTTCGAACCCAAACCAGAATTCGACCTGCTCGAAAAATTCTAAGCTCAGATTCTGAATCAGCACTCGATTACCTTCTGGACAACCAGAAAAATATAGAAAAACCTCCCCTCCCTGATTTTCCCTAGGAGTCAGTAAACCACACATTTACAAGAAAAAACCTGTTTCATTTGGCAATGTCAACGTGTCGTTATATTGGGGAACAATGAAAACCTGAGCGAGTGAAGTTGTTGCATTGAACATAAAACCAAGCATAATAAACATAATTACACATCTTAAAGATTTTAAAAGAAAATTTTAAAAAAACCTCATAAAAACATACGAAATAATGTCACCATGATTTTGTATAATAAATTCATGGGAAAATATTGGGGGGCTCTTTTTACGGCTCATAGCCGCTCTTTTTGCTTCAATTCCCATTCTCTAAAAGTTTAATTAATTAAAAAGGCTTTAAAATTAGACAATGAAATTAATCTTTAAATGAAATACTTTAAAAAGTTAGACATGGCGTCACAAATCCAATTACCAGCCGATTATTTTCTCTTCTCTAACACTATGTAAGCTTTTGGCGTTCTGAAATTTTTGCAGTTTGATTACTGTATAGCGTTCATTTGAATTAAAAGAAATTTCAGTCCCATTTCGTCCCACTGAATTAAAATCCCCAATTCGGCTCTCCTCAATTCGTCACAAAGTGCAAACAATTCGTCCCAGTTGGATAATAATTGGTAAAAATGTTCTAATGAACTTAGGACCGGATAACTCTTATATCATTCGAAAGCCCTCGAAAGGTCCTATCATTCTTTCAAGCCGGATGGATCAAGTCTTATCACTGCTTAAAAAGTTATGGCTCTCAGTATTAAGTCCTATCTACTCTCTAAATATGGATATTTAAGTAAATTCCATGGATTAATGTAAATTTCAAAATAATTTATAAACATAGTACGTGAGCTTTCAAACATTCCTTCATTATAAACACATGGCTTTTCTCATTTATTTTTCACACAAAGAATTGACGAAGTAATAAAAAGTTTTGTTGTTTTTATCCATCCGCCAACAGTTGTTTTCAATTTTTCAAAAATAACAAGCATGATTTAACAGAACATCTTGGCAAGCATATTAATGGTGTTTCTCTGATAATTTGTTTATTTTTCCCTAATATTTTTCAATCCATTTTTCAAATTTTGAAATCTCCAGCTTCATAATGGCTAATAAACCTATTTCTGTACTGCTTATTCTCTTCTTATCTATCCCACAGTTTGATGCAGATCAGGGAAATGAAGAGGATCCAGACGAAAAGCCACGATACCAACAATATGTGAACGAGCAGAATTACGTAATTAAACCGAAATAAGTTAATTATACCCTTAATCCTTGTAGCATATTCCCTTCAAAACGAGAATCAGTGAGCCTTTCAGAGAGTATCAAACAGTGCACGCTGTAGGAAAGGTTAATGCCGACCCAAAGAGGTTAATCTTGAGTGTTTTCAAGTTAAATTGAATATTTTTATAGGGTGGATTTAAATTTCTATAAGGGTGGGAACGAGGATGATGATATGCCTTTACATCTTTCAGTCAGATTTGATGAGGGCTTGTTTAAGGGAAATGTGGTGTTTAACACCTTAGTTAATAAAAATTGGTCAGAGCCGGAAGAGCGTGTTCAAAGTCCATTCAAACCAGATGAGGAATTTGACATTCGTGTCCGAATATTGCCAGGAAAATTTCAGGCAATCCTCTAATTTAGTAAAATATCTACTAATACTTTTATTAGGTGTTTGGTAATCGTATCGAGATAGGGACTTTCGATCAACGGATCCCTTTATATGGAGTATAAAATTATTACCTTAAATTATTGCTTTATTATATTTTAATAAAGGTTAATCACGTATCGTTACTTGGAGATTTGAAGAGCCTACGAGTTTTCCACTATGGAGGAACTAAATTCCCGAATCCTTATAATGCTATTGCCAAACTTTTGCCTGGTAAGTTAAAAAATTTTGCCGCACTATACAGTTATTTCGAATATTAAGGAATGCGTCTTGATATATCCGCTATGCCATTAGGTAGGAAGCTCTCATTCTCAAGCTAATAATTTTCATGTATAGGCAATCGAGTTAATTTCAACCTATACAAGACAAACAACGACATAGCTTTGCATATTTCTATACGTTACTCCGAAGGCATTATTGTTCGCAATTCAATGATATCAAATCAATGGGGGGATCAGGAAATTGAAGGCAGTCTTCCATTGGCAAAAAATGAAATGTAACTTGTTTCATTTTACTTGAGACTTAATAAAATATTTTCAGTTTCGATCTAACAATAATAAACGAACAAGCAAACTTTCTAATCTTATTTAACGGCAAAAAGTTTTGTAATTTTGTGCATCGTTCTCAGAATTTTGATATTGAAACATTAGAAGTTGATGGAACTTTTGAATTACATACTGTTACAATTAACAACGCACGTTAATCACTTTTTATTTTTCCCCTAAATGTTGCAACTACTTCAATCAAAACACCACTATTATTATGTTTATGATCGCTAGTGACACCCCGTGGCCGATAAAAAATTGTTTACATCTAAAATATTACAAATAAAATTCACGAACATTAAAATTTCTTGTGATTATTTGTCCCGTCGTTTCTTATCATTAAGCTATTTTTTCTTTTTAATTTCATTGAAAATAGTAAAGTTAAGATAGCATTGAAAAACGCCCTCAATTCTGGTCCTAATCCTTCTCTATAGTGTAATCTTTGGGTTAATCTAGTAGATTAGGCTGTTAATCAGTTTAGCTCCGAAATCCATTTCCTTTCAATTATGTATAATTTTTTCATTTATAATCAAATTTATTCAATTAATCTGATAAAATATTGGTTTTTATAAAATTATTAAAGCTTAATTCGTGTTTACCTCACACATTGAGTTAAAAAATATTCACACGTAATGCTTCTCACATTGAAAACGGAAATGCCATTTAATGGTTAGGTTCAAGTTTAAATGTCATAATTCTCTAAATTTATTTTCTCTTAATTATTATAAGCATATTTTATATGTTTAATTCTTTTCGATAAAGTAAACTAGAATAAAGTTTGCAGCATGACATTTCATACTTGCCCGGTTTCCCGTGAGTATTCTCAAGTTAAATATTACATTTGCATATTAGCAAATACATAGCGTGCACCAGTCTGGAAATAAATAAAATTATATTTATCCCTTTAACTTCTATTTATCCAATTTTTCTCCTACTATAAATGTGTAAGGCTAACGGAGCAGTTCAGTTGGCCCCAACCCTTTAAGTCATGAAGGGATGGATCATTTTTAGTGATCTTGGTACCATTATCTCTATGCAATGGTACCATGAATATTAAAAATTATCCTCCCCTTCTTAAGTTATAGGTGTCGGGATTCAACGGAGGGGTATTGTTTTTCCAATTTAAATTCATTAATTTTTTTATTTTGAAAAAGGAAGTACATACATGTGACTGGCATTTCAAAAACATTTAAAAAATCATTAAGTAACCAGCTGATCAAAAAATATTTTTTACATATTTTCTCTCCTTGTTTTTATCTCAAAAATTCCATGACTTAATTCACGAGTTTTCCTCGTAGGTATTTTTTCAATTCGAATGAATGCGTGTTTTACTATTTTTGCGCAGCTTTAGTTAACTAAAAGAATAATAAAAAACTAAAACATTAAATATCAGAAAATTCTCAGACTTTATTAGAATTAGTTTAAAACCCTCCCATTATTTTCTGAAAAATAATTTTTATTGTTTAATAATAATTTTGTTTGCGATTCATTTTTATTTGCAATTTTTAACTACTTAAAATTTTAGATAAAAAAATAAATTATCAACAAAATTTTATATTTTTTTGCAAATTCATTCATTAACTTATTTTTACAAACATCAAAATTGTTATAATCACTTTCACGTTAATTAATTTTAATTTTATCTCTATAGGTAATTTAGGGAATACTTGAACGCAAAAAATTCTATCTATCAGATAAATTGACGAACAGCGTCATTTTTAAACATTTTATTTGTTTATTTGAAAATTCACGTAAATATCTTTGTAAAAATATTTTTAATTGAGAATGAGCAATAAATTTTCTCAAAAAAACATTCGTCAGAAAATTGCCTTTTTAAGTGGTTTTACGCGGCCAGATTCCATTTCTTTACATATATGGCTACGTAATTAAAATGAAATTTGATGGGGTTACCTTAAAAATGCCAAAATAGAAGGTGTTTGAACAAATAAAATTTTAAAAGGGCAAAAAGCTCGTACCTTTGGCACGCTAAAATCTGAGACTTAATCCGTCTACATTACGTCTTATTTGTATATTTGTCTAAAATTCCAAAATTGATGCCTTGCTATAAAATTTCCAAAAATATCATTTATTTATTCTTATAAACCTTTAAAATGTATTGGCGTTCATTAAGTTTAATTTAAAAAATACAATTTCAAACCCATTATATTTATTTATAAACAGTTACAAAATAAACCTGCGCATGTTTATTGTTGCGCATTAAAAGTGAATGCCGGAAATACTAAAATAAAAGGGAAAAAACTATTTTTGGCACTATATTTTATACTTATTTTTATAGCATATATATTTTATAATTATTTTTCTATTTATTATTCATTAATATGTTTAGCGATTAGCCGAAAAAAGGCAAGATAATAATTTTTCGATTATCGAGTCCGATTCCGGATATCCTGAGATCTCCCAGGAGCCGTCAAACGTATTCAATAATTACCACAAATATTCCGAAAATTAAAGAAATCTATCAAGCTTAATTTAGACCTATTAAACAATAAAAAAGGTTCTATAAATAGCATAATATTTTGTAGCTTTAAAATGAAATAAATTAAAAATTTTCTTATTATTTCCAATTTAGGCCGATTATGACTGAATTAAAATTATTTTTCGAAAAAAATTATTTTATTAAACACGTGAGCGTTAATTTCTTGTTAAAAATAGAACCCGCAATTAGGAGACATTAGCAATTTTATTCAAAAAATTTTATCCAATATATTTTTATTTTATTTCCCTATATGCCTAAATAATACTAATAATTGTCTAGGCAAAAAATGTGTGTTTATAAAGGAGGAAAACAATATTTACGATTTACGCGCGGCGGCATTTCAGATTTTGTTTTTTGAACAAATTGTGGGAAAGCTATAGACTTAAAGGGCATTTTTTTCAAAATAATCGTCTAAGATATGGGAAAAAAGTAGAAGATTGTCACCTATGTAAATGAAAAATAATAACAGTACTATTTAGCCATTAATCATAAGATATCGCCAATTTCAGTTATTTTCCATTGTTATTTTCTATGTATACATATAAATACAAACTTATACATGGAAACGAATTTTGGTATCCTTATACGAGTATATCTGTGAGGTATCCTTTTAACTTTCAACTTTTATCCATCCGAGCGTATTCGCTGATATAGCCCGTGTGCGAAAGATTTCAATTTTGAGAAGGATATCCACGGATTTCAAACATCATATCTGTATCTATTCGATTAAAAAAACTATCCATATCCATCCTATCCGCGGATATTCACGAGTATCCACTATTGTCCTATCCATGCCAAGTCTGGCAAATACTCTAGTTTTTTGAAAAATAATTTTGCAAAATTTTCTATCCGTAAGCTTTATTCTCGACGTAAATACAAAATAATTATTTATATTAAAATTCTCATTTAACTTAAAACGGGACACAAAGAAAATAACGTCACGAAATATTATAAAATTTTGCTTGTTTACAAGAAAATTAAATTAAAAAATAATTTTAACAATACAAACGCCCCAAAATTTTTGTCTTGTTCTGTGAACATTCATTCTACCTAGTTTTTATTCACGTAGAAATTTTTCTAACGCCTACGCTCAAAAATCCTTTAAAATACTGCAAGTCTTATTTAGGGGTATTAGATTTGCTATTACTCAAAAAATACTTGACAAATTTGGCATTGCAAAATTTTTTGAATTTTTCTTTAATAAAAAACTATGCGCGAGAAAATTCCAATTTAGTGCTCTTTCCTTTCTCGACATTTTAAAATGAACATATGATTTTTCCTGTCACATAAAACTTAAAATCATCAAAGAACATTTAGTTTTTGTAAATGACATAATTAAACAGTTGTTTATTTTCAAATATATTATTGACAGATTTAACACAAAAATGTATAAAATGTCAAGGATACAACAAAATAAAATAAGAATAAAACACCATTGTTGTAGATATGTTCTTCTAATTTTTCAATCTTTTACTATCCTAATCCTCTTTATTAATCAAGTCAAAGGCAACATTTCATTTTCTAAAGACGGAACAAATTCGGAAACAAACGGGTTAAGAAGATACAGCAACGAGGAGATTACAAGAATTTTCGATTTGGCTAATATAAACAGACACAGAATGAGAAGAAGCACTGATCTCCGATTGATTTCAGCAAGTGCTGAAGTGGGAAATTTTAAATTCTAATTTCTTGACTTTAATTCAAAAAAGCCATAATCTCAAAGATATTTTCGTTTTAAGACTGGTAGTTCATTTCCCTGGAAAAAGCGCTATTACGTTACTAGATGGCATAGAAGACGATTTGTCCCAACTGTCAATTCAAGGGAAGATGGATCTCTACTCACTGCCGTTGAGCTTGTAAGTTCTTAAAGATTTTTAAAAAATCTTTACTTTAAAATTAATTTTAAAGTCTACAGTGCCTCGACGATTATGCGGAATAAAATTAACAAACAGAACCAGGGAACTATGTGGCGAGTAAGTTGATTATTTTTACAGTCAGATCCCTAATTATATAAATATTAATTCCAGATGTGGTCCAGCAAACATGCAGAGGGTTGAATTAATGGATAAAAAGGCAGATAAATCAGTTGGTGAGTTTAAACTTTTGTCTTAAATTTCTGAAAAATATAAAAATTTTTTTAAAGCATCTCGAGAACGTCTGACACAAATGTGCTGCGAAAAGCGATGCACAGATGGTATATCAAAATATATAGCAATTATTTAATTATTTTATAGAGGATATTCGTTCGTATTGTTGTAGAAGCTGACAATGTTGTGAACAATTTTAAAGAATTACGTAGTTTTTGCTGATTATCTTTATCTATCTTTCCAACAGGACATGTCATTAACATTATACATTTTTTGAGGCCCAGATTGTTACTTTATTTTTTTCTTATTTCTTTTATTTGTTTGACTATATTTAATAATGATAAATTTAATAATTTTTGAAATAAGAGATAATTTTTATTAGGCTTACGCAGAGGATGGCACGGGAAGATCCCGTATCGTTTTGGAATCCCGGATTTTAAGTTACGAACGGGATTTACTAAATTAATCCCGCGGAATTCCCACCGTTCGATCTTTTGCAAACTCCATCCCGTTACGGGTCTCGGGAATGCAATTTTGATATGGACAAATGGCTGGCTCTTTTGGTGCTACAATACCGTAGCGCCTTTAAATTAGAGGCTCTTTTGGTGCCATCATACCGTAGTAAAATATTTTTATTTATTTCACTTTTAAATAAGAATGTTTTATTAAATTATCATCATCGACTTATTTTTTTCATATCCTCGAAAACTTCCTTGCCAAATTCTCACTCGTAAATTAGATTTTTCAAGAATGTTAGTGCAAAACAAATTGGCATGAAAACGCGACGAGAAAAACAAATTTAGGGGAAATGGAAAGGATAAATTTCTTTGCGAAACTGCCTTGAAAATTTTTCGTCTTCTTGACAATTTGTTTGCTTACATAAAACCCAGAAGATCGCTTAAAGCGGCGGCCATTGCTGCTAAGAAATGGCATTTCAAAAACAATAATAGAAAAGATTCTTTGGTCTTATGCTTCATGTAATTCAAAAATACACGAGAAAAAGCATGAAAAAGATGTTGCTTATTATTAGGCTTATGCATATCTTGCTTCTAAAAACTTTCAAACACTATTTCATTTTCTTTTTCCATCGAATAGAAATTCAGATTAAGAATAAGCTTATGCATGCATATTATTTTCATCAAGTTTTTAGTAATATAACGGCCAAATTTATATTTTCCCATTCTTCACATCGATGTTTGAGAAGGAGGAAACTGACAAACCAATGCATTTTATTTGGCTGTTTACCCTTTATCTTTTCACATTGCCAGCTTTATCCTTTCATATTTATAGAAAAATTTATAGTCAATCCTCATGCCTTCAATATTTATTGTCAATAAAAAGCATAAATATTTTTTCAATTAAGGGGGTTAAGCAAAAAACTTTCACCCACGCACAGTTTTAATTACTAGAAATGCTAATTTTGGATATTCCAAAAAGAGATTTTTAGTTATCCCAAAAGAACTCAAAGCTACCAAGTTTCGTAAAAGCTCTCAAGGCAATCAATTCCTTTAAGCTGCTGGGTTACTTCCAAATTTGGAATTTTATTGTATCCAATTTTAAAATTTCCGGCTTTTCCTTTTTATTAAGAACGTGCTAAGTAGCCTTATTTCCTTATGCTTATTTTTCAACAAAGATTATTTTAGGATAACATAAACAAAAATATAAAAATTATTTAACATGCTTACTTCAATATGTGAATATTGGTGAGACTACATTATAAAATTTAAAAATCTGAATTAAATTTGCATGCCAGCTAAAATGGGTAACTGCCTTTATCGGCACGAGAATGAAAAGAATCACTCAAGCAGCGTAGAACGCCAAAATCAACATTCAATAAAGTATGAAGGAATTTATCGAGTCTTGAATTCAATTTTTATTTAGATCCACTCCAAGTTCCAAGGGTGTTGGTCTAGGAATATCGGTTTGAATCTATAAATCCAATAGTAACTTAAAAATGTTTTATAAATTTTTCAAGATGATGATGCATCAGGCTGGAATGCTAGCTGGTATGTTAATTGACATAACGATACAAAATCATTTATCTATATTGGCATTTATCCTAGGTTGCGCACCAACCCCAAATTTAATTGATCTGGATAATCTTCGGTCTCAAATGCGTAAAGCTAAGGCTGAAGGCAGGACTGTCACTGTACTTAATGGTTGTGTCTATATTGACTATCAACTAAAAGCACAAATCCCCGCTGGATTTAATTATGATATTTGACATTTATCCATGCTCATATAAAAATGTACAACTTTATAGCATCTATATTAAATTTTAAAGCTGTTCAGCAATAAAATTGGATTTGCCCCCGCTCATTTTATTTACATTATAGATATCAGCAAGATTTAAAAAGTGATTAATTATTTTAACAGGAATTAAGGGTAATCAGTCTGGTTAGTAATGATTGGGGAGAGGAAAGTGGAAGGAATTAGTAAAAGGAAAACATAAAAATATTAAATCTAATCTGAATTTTCGTTTATTTCTACAATATGTTGACTTATCTTTTGTTTTGTGGATTTATTTTGGGTATCGAATGTTGTGAAATTCGATCAATGGTTTGATAAATCTATATAAATATGATTAACTATTATTTCAGGTAAAATCATTGGCAGAAATTCCATTCGAATTTAAACTGTCCCGATCAGATATTGTTGGGTTTGAAATGAAAGAGAATCTTGTGTTTAATGGAAAAGATGAACAAAAAGAATTACTGGTAATTAAATTAAAAATATCCCAAGGATTTTTTACTTCATTAGATCAAAGCAGATGACTGCTCAGTTAAACCCTGGAAAATGGAAACATTCAAACGAAATCCAGAAGGTACTCTAGAATTAGCAAAGGAGGCAATGGTTAAATTCGATGGTAAAGGAGTAATGGATATTAAAATAAAGGAAGATTTACAGCCTTGGATAGGTGCCAGAGTTGGCGTTTATTGCGCTGAGAGTTGGTTTTGTGGGTAGATATTCAAAAAAATTTTAAAATTTATACAATAAAGTGATAAAGATCAAGCAATATATTTCATAGTGCCTTTATTTGGATTCATATACAAAAATAAACTTTTATTTTCTTTGATTTCATGATCCGTTAAATAGCTTGTATGACGTCGACTGCGCCTTTCTAGCCAGGCTAATACTAAACAAAATAAGAAAAAAGCGGCCAATGCAAAGAAGGCTAAGTAAACACCGAGTAGGACTAGAAGTGTTTCTGATCCCTTTGTAGGCACTGGTTCAGTGGATACAAGGATCTTTTGGCGCTGATCATTTGCTGATATTCGTTGATTCTTGCCATCCTTAATAAGATGCTTTCTTGGTACCAAATGTTCTTTTTTCATTGGAATTTCATTAGCATAGTATTCGCTTATATCAGCTGGTAAGATAACAAATGGACTGTTGTTTTCATAATGATGATTTCTCTGGTCATTTGGCTCATTTTGTTCAGCATTTAACTTGACAGGTAATTCTGAGTTCTTCAATGTTGGTTCTTGTATATTTTCTATAGAATCAACATTGGTTTGCACAACATCAAAAGTTGATGTTACTGGAACATAAATATATTTAATAATGTTCTAAATAAGATTCCTACCCTCATTAGGCCATTTATTTCGATAGTCAGTTTCAGGATCCTCATCAAATTCGAGAATTTTTGAAAAGTATATGTGCGTATCTTGTAGCATTGGTTGGGAGCTCGTTTCCCCATTACTTTTGTCACTGATAAAGTCATTAGTTGTCGAGAAATATCTCTGTCGATTTTCACCTTCATTGATAGGATTCGTGTGCATCTAAATCGAAAGATCATTTAACAAAGAAAGTGAGGCTTTAACATACAATAGGATCACTCTTTTTATTTTCCTGAGGAACTCCTTCAATTCCATCTATCAATGCTTCAACAGAGGAAGCTGGCGTTGTGACAATGTTGGGCACTTCTTCCGTTTTAAACTCCACCTCATCATCAACTGGTTCAGAAGAATCAACATCTTCATACACCCACTCTTCCTCATATTCTTCGATGTTATTCATCTGTTCTTTTACACTTTTGGCTTGATCTATATTGTTTTCATGTTCTTTATTAGGAACTTGGGAACTTGATCGTTCGGAACTATATGAAACTTTGTCGTTCATCAAAACATTTGGTACTGTAACCCTGTTGTTAATAGTCCTACCAATGTTATTTTGATCTCCCCACTGGACGGAATATCTTGAATTCAAGTCATTTGTCAGCCTTGCTGTTGAGTAAAAGAAATTTGGTGGCATGTCTTCCAAGTCCTCATCCGATGAAAACAATCGCCGAATGTTGGGGGCTGGTAAGTAAACAAAGCTTATACTATAACTCTAAATTCATACCAATGGTAACTTCTTCGCCTTCCTCTCCATAAACATTTTCATCAATAAGAGCTCGTTGGAGACGGTCGCCATCAGCATTCCTAAGATTTTCGGATTATTTTTGTTTTTGAATACATCTTAGTAATAAACACTACTTATAAAAGTTGAATTTTTGACAACGGTCCAGGAGAACTTCGGGCAAAAGTTGATCCAGTTCAAGAGGAATCACAGTAAAACTTCTGGTTTTGTATTTGTCGATAACCCGACCAGATGGCAATAAAGTAGAAATAAAATATTCTCGAATAAAGGAGCGATCGAGCTTCAGAATTTTCCTTTTACTTCCCTGATTAGAGCATAAGTTTTGGCCAGAACTAATTATGCAAGAAATTTGCGTATCCAGTAATCGACATAGTTCCTAAAAATTTAACTTAAATAATTACAATTAAATTAATTTACTTGTTCAATAAAGTTTCTTAGCTTTTTAAATTGTTTTAAGCCATTTAATCTCGTATATTCATCTTTTATTTGATCCAATTGGAAGCCAATCATGCGCATTTTCGCTACTTTCCGTTGATCTTTTGAGCAACTTTTTTCTATATGGTTACGTTGTTTATGCAAACAGAGTTTATCAGATGGAAGATTATCACACACTTGAGAATCTATACGATTCAAAATCCATAACATTTTTGTTTGCAACCAGAATTCATGCCAGTAATTTTGTTTCATGCTTGCTTTAGAGCTGAGCAACTTACTACATTGTTTTTGGCAATGATCATAGTCGAGAAATTTCCTAAACTTTGAAATCATATAATGATAAAGCCGGGTTAGCTAACCAGCAAATTGGATTTATGTCGGAGTGTTTATTCTGTAGAATTTGGTTTCTATTCCGAGATTTACGCAATACCCTAAGAATGTTTGCAGCATTTTCTTCATTTCCAATATTCATCGAGCGTTTAAAAAGCCGATTACATCGATCAGAACATTGATCAGTTTTAAAACTTAACTCGTTTTTTTCATGTAGTTCAGCAACACAGATAATTATAGGGAAAAACAATGGAATAAAATTAAATGATTTAAAGTAAAACATGTAAATACAAAACAAAGTTTTTGTAAATAATTTTGAAGCAAGGATAGTTACATTTTTGTGATTAAGCTCTCTCGACCGGAGGATTTTCTTAATTATTTAGCGGTTAGAATGAGTTGGTTCCTTGAGCTATTGAGTTGAACGATGAGTTTAAAAAACAGCCACAATTGTTTCGTATTTTTCATGCAAAACGCAAACTTCTCCTAATTATGCAACAGCTGTTTACACGTTTAAAAGAAAAACAAGCATTCATGGATTGATAAATAGTGTTGTTTATTTGTTTTTATTCGTTTGGATATAGGAATGCAGAAAATAAAATATAAAATAAAGCAAAAATTGCAAATCTCGATCTAAGTGATTGATGGGTGTTCAACGGGCGAGAAAGGTGGATTAAAAGGTTGAATGATTTGAAATTTTTTAAATTTATTTAGTTATCAAAAACATAATTGGATACATAATAAAAGAATTTTATTAGGAAGGGGTTGTAGTATTCAAAACATCATTTACCTCAAAACCAGCAGTATATTCGAAACTATCATTATCATTACTTAGATCCCTGATTTGAGGATTCATTTTCTGTTCAATATCAGTCTCCTCATTTCCGTAAATCTCAGCTGTCTGTTGTCCATTCTGTTGGATTAGCATCAAGGCATCTTTATCCTCTAACGATTTAATTACATTGCCAGGAACTTTGAGGACTTGAAAAGTTGAGCCAACATTATTCAACAGATTTTTCCCAAGTATGTACGGGGAAATCTGCAAGAGCTGCAACTGGTCTTCTCTTGGAGAGACTCTTCCTGAAGGCTGCTCTGATATTGGATTCTGGATTTTCCCCCCTTGGAACGGTTTCTTAGATCCGAAATCTTCTGCTGAACTAAAAATGAGCTGCTCTGCTGTTGGTGATTCATCAGGGTTATAAAAGCCTTTGCCAGAAGTTTGAATGAAAGAATCCATCTGATCATCATTATTTTGTTGCTGCTGAATAAGTAAATTTAGGATACGTTGTTGCTTCTCTTGCAAGTCTTTTAGATCAAGTCGATTACTCTTTAGTAGTTGTTTACGTTGAGAATCACGTTCGAGTAATTCCAAAATGATCTTCTCTTGTTCCAAAATTTGTTTTAATGAGAGTTGCTGACTGATAGCTTCGTTTGTTGTTTTACCAAAAATCCCTATATTTCTATTTTCAGTAGTTGCCTATATTCAAATAAAATTTTTTTAAAATAATTTTAAATTACTGGAAATTTTCTAAGATATTGCAGACCAGAAAGTAAGGGCCTTATCATAGATGTTTTGAAAGACATAGATGAATCATCACCATTCCTTCCAGAAGCTCGTAGTAATACGTTCTTCAGTCTTTGTTCATCGGATATTCGTTGTTGTAGACGTTGCATATCTTACGTAAGATTATTCAAAAAATAATCATATGAACTTACTAATTAAGTTAGCATAATTTCGAGAGTTTAAGGCTCCATATGGACTTCTTCCACTATTTCGAAGCGCAGCCTGGATCATCATTCCTGTTTCTTTTCTACCAAACCTTGTCAAACTAGGATTATCCAAGCTTATAGAGCGTTGCGCAATAGCTGGAACATCATTACGTTGAAAGTTATCAAAACTATTAAGCTCAGCAGCTAGTAATTGGATCATGAATAAAGCTAATAAGACTTGATTGTAAGCGTATTTTTCAAACATTATTTTTGAAAAAATGACTAAATTTTTGTAAAATAGATTTCGTTATGTATTTCAGTTTAAAAATACATCCCTTTTAAAAAACCCAGCTAAAAATAACAATAAAATGAAAGCTAATGGATATCGCTAAAAATAGAAATTTAAACAAACAAATGGATCTATTATTGTTTACATGGTTCATGTGTATAGATTGCTTGGCAAAATAGACAGACTCGGTCTAAAAGATCAAGTCGGACCCCGGATTTGGCCCGAAAAAATGCCTCGATCGTTGGCCCTACTCAAAAAACGGCAAACCTAATTATAAATAAATACACACTGATTATTAATACCTAGCATGCTACTTAACTTTTAATGCATAAAACATATCTTTCAAATTTTATTCAGATTATTAAAGATTGAGGCTGTCATATAAATAAGTCACTGACTGGTTAAAAAAATAATAGTGAAATATAGATTAGGCAAGATAACAATAAAGAACAGGAACGTAATCGTTGATCAGATGTAAAAATACAGATTTAAATTACGTCCATATACTTAGAAATAAAATTAAAAATGGCAAGGTTCCCTTTCCGGAGGTTTAATGATAAAAATGCAAAATATAAGTATAATAATTAAAATAATATAAAGGCACGAAATTTTAAATTAATGACCAAAATGTGTGAAAATTTATGTAATTATGCACTTCTGTTTGCCTCCTCCTTTTTTCCCTTTAAACGGCCGACCTTGGTTATCTTTAAGCTAAAAAATAAAAATACAAAGCCTCAAATATTTTTAATAGAAATCCCACATTCTGAGCATTCTCTTCAGCAGGAAAGCTCTTGACAATTCGAACCTAAAATATTTTATCAAAAAAAAAACTAATAATATAGAAACCAATTCGTGAAAAGCAGAGTCAACATTAACAGGCGGATCCTTAGCAGATGTTCTAGGTTAAATATTATCAATATTTCATACCCCTAAGTAAAAATTAGTTACTCAATATATGGAATGTTGTTCAGTTCACAAGCCAGTTCCCGACCTTGCTGTTCGCTAACCTTCCTTTGACTAAGTAGATCAACCTTTAAACTCATTATCAAACTCAATTAAGATTCAATCAAAAAACCTTATTTGCTACAAGAAGCACTGGATATTCAGGACGATCTTTAACACGAAGTACTTGCTTAGAATAAAGAATATACTTTCATAATTAAGTAAGCTAAAAACCTGATAAAGCTTTTTAGCTTCGTGAAAGCTTTGCTCATCCGTAACAGAGTAGACTAACAGAAAACCTCTTCCACTCCGCATATATCTAACAAATGGATTGTGTAACGTAAAATTCCAAGAAAGAAATTACTGTTCACGCATTGCTGAAAATTCCTCTTGTCCAGCTGTATCCAATACTGAAACCTTTATTCATGATAATTAATGAAAAGCTTTTTGAAAAGATCTATATAGAAAGATCCGATACTTGACATTAAACATAACTTTTCCAGCAATGGAAATAGCTATTTTTATTTCAAAGAGTTAAGCTAAAAAATTAAGCTTATTTAGAAGCTAAGAACATCAAAAATGGTCAATTTTTAAGAAAGTTATGACCATTATTAGGTTTCTGGCCAAATTTCCTGGCTCTTAGGCCATAACTTTAATTTATTTTTATGTTTTTCCAAACCTTATATCATATTATAGACAATTATAAGCTTAATTTCATAAAATTCAACTTTCTGTATATCATGCTATCATTGAATTTATGATTAATTTAACGTCAATTATCCTCAAGTCACGACACAAAACTAACCATCTAAAATAACCCATTGGCCATCAATTTCACAATGCTAAAATAAACACCATTTATTACAAATAAATTATAAAAATTAGAACCTGTATGTACTGATCTTCAATTGTCGGGTCATAATAATCCAAAAATTGTTTCTGAATAACCACATAATGTGGGATTTAAAAAATTATGAACCTGGAAAAACTGAATGGTTAATGAAGATTTGCCAACACCACCTTCACCAATAACAACCAGTTTGTAAGTAGGTAATTGTTGCTCGTCTGGTGGCCTTTTGTTAGAGGCAGCCGCCATTTTTTAATGATGAGTCACACGCACTACAAAGCTAAAAATTAACCAAAATTAAGTGTGACTCATGCACATATTAATAAAAATTTCCTGAATTATCATGGGTAAAATCCTAGGGCAAAATTACACAAAATGTGAAAATAAAGAGTATATTAGCCATTTCATTGCAGCAATTTTAAATTTTACCAAATACTATTGATTTTGATCAATAATTTTTTGGAAATTTATTGGAACTTATTGACAAACGGATCATTTTTGGGATATACATAGATCTTAATTTCCAAAAAGATCTACGACAATAATTGATTCTAATTTAGATTACAAGCAAGATTTCATGAAGATTATGCTTAGAATCAACGTCAAATATTGCGGGCTATTTCGATTTATTAATTCTATTTTCTTTTATCTGCGCTGCGTGTGGACTGATTATGTATGTACATATCACTTATAATTTTGTTAGTTATCTTGTTTTAATTATATATTGTCTGGGACTGGATTACACAATGTTATTAATAAAACCAGATTTTATCCAATTATACAAGACAATTTCATACAGCTGTTATGCATAATAACAAAAAATAACATTAGTAAATCTTTCGCGTAAGCGCTTTCTTTCAAGAAACATTTGCAAATGGGTCAATAATAAATGAGAGGTGATAAGAGGATATCTTGATCCTGATGAATTGATCATCAATCAAAGAACAAAAGCCACCAACATTAGTAGGATAGGCGTTCATCTCCGGTTTTCGCTATAAATTTAAAATTGAACTACACAATCTCTTTGTTATGGTTCATCCTCAAAAAATTATAAATTAACATGACTGATAAATTGACCATGAACGAAATCTTTAGAGCTGATTAGTAGAGTTATAAGGTCTAAAAATTTCTTATGAACTAGATTAGTTTGATCAGGGACGGGGACTTTCGCTTTCATATTCCGCCGATTTCAGTTTTTTCTGCTCTTCCGCTTCCGTCTTCAACTTATTACTTTCTTCCGTTTTCTTCCATCTGCACCTTTTTAAAATTCGGTTTAAAATAAAAATTTCAATAAATATTAGTAATACTAACATACTTTTTATAATTCATAGTTGTTGGATTATTTATATAAAAATAAAAAATTACGGCGATAATCCATCATTTTGCCATCCAATTTTTGTGGCCAAAATGCTCAAGATTATCTGTTAGGGTATATAGTTGCGTCAGTGCTTACCTCTAATCCTTAGGATAAAAAGCCACTTAAAAAGCTGACTTTCAGATCGCAATTTTCGTAAAAAAGAAGAGTGTGAGCACTAATTAATCAACTTGAGCTGTGACTAGTCCCAACACCACAGGATTTATTTGATCCAATACCACATCCCCCAGCATAGCAAACAAAGGAAGTGCGTTAATCAGCCACCATTATCGCCTAAATCTCTCGAATAAAACCTATTGGCAACAATAAATTCCTCTGATTTTTCATTAAAAACCAATTTATATATAAAAAACCAGGAGGCAATCTTTACTAATATAAGAATATTTGGGTTTAATCGCTTTGTTCATTAATCTGGGAGGCTGCCACAAATTTAACCACTGTGTAAATAATAAAAGTCAGTTGCCTCCAATAATTAAAATGATACAATCTACCCCCTTAGTGGCTGGCAATAATTATAACTAATAAATTGTATAAGCGAATAAAAACTAACTCAAAACTTGATTATTTCAACCCTTTCTTCAAAATATATTAGAAATTTCATAAATATATCCATTTGTTTCTTTAATCTATTTACACATCTTAAGTTTTATCTAAATACCTCTCTTGAAACTTTCCTCTTTTTACAATGTTTTAATGACCAAAACATAGGTATTTCTTAGCAAAATACATCAATCTACTTTTAAATTACATAAATTTTCGTTTGCGCGATCGTTCAACAACGCAGGATTGTCAAATAAAATGTAGATAAATATCGGTAAAGTTGTGGTGTCATTTGTGCGGTTGTTAACTGAGGTACATTTAAGGCGGAATATCGAGAAAATTAATGGGGATATGTCCAAAGCGAAGATATTTTAGAGGGAAAAACGCGATTCGAGAGGGGAGTCTTTGCAATTTTTGAAAATTAAAGGCCACTTTCGACATGCTATTTGATAGTTTGGCCTTGATATCTGAAAATATCTTATTCCTTATAAAACAAATTCTTTAAAAATATTTTTGACATAATGTATAACAAGGTCGTTATATTTTTACGTGAATATTAAAGAATTATATTATTATTTTTTGGTTATATTTTTAGAGAGACCAAGTTAGGAATTTAAGACATAGAGTGGAAAACTTTTAAAATAAACTACAAAGAGTGGCCTTTTGTGACAGCCAAAAAAGATGATCGAAGAGGGGCTGCTTGTTTAACCATTTGGTTGTTCTTATAGTTGACAATAGCATAATAATTCAAACCCTACATCGCAGATTTTGGCCAAAACATTATTAAATGAAATAGAGGCCGTATAATGAATAAAGAGAGAAGAAAGCAGATGCGCCATTTTAATGTTTTGTTGGTGTTTTTAATAAGTCAGTTTCAAAATAGGCGTATGTTCTTTAGGTTCAAAAATTTCTACCTAATAAAAATTCATTAATTAAAGCATACTTTCGCGCGATTTTCCATACTTTAAATAAAACAAGTATTAATATGTCCCCGCTCACTTTCTTTATCAATTCCTCCAATCTACCATTTACCAGCCACTATGTTCAACATACGTACACCACCAAGCCGCTGGCGTCCGCTTGCGTATTGGTTCAAAAATAGATGTAACTGAATTTTTTTAGTGAATAAACCAAATTTATATTTTAGAAAAAATTGTTTGGATAATTTCGGATAAACTTAAATTATCAAAAGCATAATATCTTGAAAATCTTTTAAATTATGCTTTAAAATTATCTTATAAACGATTTTTTTATCTCTAATTAAGCTTTTTAAATGTTAGAACTCAATTTCTACCGTAATAGCAAGTTTTTAAAAAAAACTAACGTTCAGCTGCGACCGCCAATCATTATAGAGGCAAAGACACTCTCTTTTTGCGCGGGTTGCGGCTGGTTTAGTATCTATGAGGTTTTGTGGAGAATATTTTATCTCCGCCCACATTTATTATTCTACATATGCCCGAAAAAACTAATATCAAATCCGAACTAATATTTTTTAAAATAATTTTGGCTATTAATCTTTCTTCTACAAAAAGAATTAAAAATAAATGAATGCTGAAAAAGGATTTATTGAAGATATGGAATCAGTATTTGACAATGCTGAGGAGGCATTACGAAGAATTTCTGGCCAGTGTCGATTACAGAGAACGTGCCATTCGGATATATTTTGTTCCAGACTGCCAGCTCATTGGCGGTAAAAATTATTCTTTCTCTATATTTAAAGCTTGTTTATAGCTCGAACAAATCGCTGCCTACCCCGTTCATAATTTTGGCACTCTGTCCTGTTCCAGATGGCAAGTTTTAATATAGATATTCACCAATTCTATAAGATACTTAACAGGAACTAGGGTCTGTGTTTCTGCCGGCAATGATGAGAATTTCTGTGCCGATGTAAAAAATAATACCGCGGAATTCACCGGACAAATGGCACGGTTTAGCGATCTTCGTTTTGTTGGAAAAAGTGGTCGCGGCAAAAATTTCAACCTCAGCATAACCATATTTACTATCCCTTATACACAGGCATGAATTTATATAGTAAATCTTTTGAACCATTAATTTAAGGTGGTAATTGTTCCGAATATTTTAAAGGGTGAGAATAATTTTAAAAATATTCTAGTCCATTTTTAAATGTTTAGTAACGGTGGATGGACCAAGAGAAACGCGAACCACATCGTCTAAGAGCATAAGTGGTTGGTTTTAAAATTTGTATTGACCTTTAATCAACTATTCATATTTTTGAGACCAACATCTATCCTTCCCAAAAAAATTTCGGTTATATGATGGACAACCAAAGATTTATCAACAACAAATTGATAATTACAACAAAGATTTAGATGCTGCTAAAGCGTATAATAAAAACGTCTTAGATTCTAAGATGTCTCAACCTATCCTTAAAGAATCTAAATGCATTACTTCATCTATCTTAACTCAACAACAGCAAAATTTCCCCTTTCTATTACCGCAAAATAGGTTGAGATTCAACACACAAACGGCAGCTACATTAATGAGTGGATTAATTAATCCACGTCTATATTTTGAAAATTTGGCAGCTGAAGCAAGGAATAAATTTGGCATAGAAAACAATTTTAGACTTAAAACTAGCATAAATCTTGATAATATATTTCATCGTTCGGTTAGCGGGGCTTCAACATATCAGATGACAACATTGAACGAAACAATTAGAAATGAACAACAAAAGATTAATTCACAAATGGTGAGTACTTGTCTATGTTTATGATCTTAATATTCGATTTTTTGTCTTAAATCTAGTCTTAAATCTAGTTTTCGAAGTTCCAACTCAGCGATTTTCCCTAAATAATAAAATAATTTAAGAATAATTTCTCAAAGCTGCTAATTCCTTCATATTGTTCAACCACTTTCCCCTCTCCATCGCAATTCATTCCAATACAATCTTTTCCTTCAATTTCTTCATGGCAAACTTTGTTTAAAAACAATAATGCAAAAAATTTACAAGAACAAGAAACGAAATTTAAAGAAAATCCTCTCTATATGCTTCAACCACCATCCATAACTCATAAATCTAATGAGAATTCTCTTACAGCTCATGCAGAAGGCGAGGATGTAATTAATGAAAGGCTAGTATTTCTAAAATATAAATTCCTTAACTAAAAAGAATTCTGTTTTTTCAGTAAACCAATGATTCGTAAAAGAAGATATAGTGGCACAGCCTCGTCAGATACCAACGGTTGGCAAAAGGATGAGCCTAATAAAGAGATGGTCAAGAGATCTAAACTAGCCGCAAAGGATGAGGTAGACAACAAAAATACTACAAGCGGCAAGAACAAAGACAATGAAATTAGTTCGCCGCAACCAATCTTGAAGCCGCAAACACAACAACGACGTCTTTGGCGTCCTTTCCCACTTTGAAAGAAAAAAAACCACGTATTAATTCTCATACATATTTTATAGATTTTTGAAGCTATTTATCTTATTCCAAATCTTTTCATTTTTTTCAATGACAACCGCTGATTGTGATCAACACATGCGCAAACGAAATATTCATTTTATAAACAACAGCTTTACATATGCCCGGTAGTTTTTGATCATTCCGAATTTTAAACCATTTTAATAGAAATTATAGTATTGTTTTTTGTTATTTTTATAAAGATATTATAAGCATATGAAATTATAACACTATCTCTTGTGCATTAATAATACATCATCTTCTTTTTCTGACCCACTGGTTGAAGAATTCTCAAAATTATCGTCTTCCTCCGGCTTTTCGTCCAACTCTTGGATTCTACTATCTAGCAGATTTTGTTGTTCCTTTTCCAGTTCGGTTTCTCTTTGCAAAGCTTCCACTTCGTCTACTGTTAGAAGAGGACCTTCTACTTCAGATTCGTCTTCATCATCTTCATCCTCACTACTGCTCTCCTTATGATGCATCATACGGCGAACCATGTAACTTAAATTTTAAATTTATACAGGCTTTTCCGTACCCTCAAAACTATCATAAAGCTTAGAATTTTTATTAAGCAATTACAAGAATTTTCAGACTTTTCTAAATTTTACCCGTGAACTGGACAGAGAGGCTTCATGAAAACGATCTGGCCACGTGCACCAAAGAGGCATGTGCATGGCAATTCAACGTTAGGTGCCAAATAAGGCGTACTATATAAAAAAATGTAGATACATTGAAACGTTTTGAATTAATTTTTTAACCTTGTGCCAGAACAACTTTGAGAGTGCACAATCTCCTAAAATCAGATAAAATTAAAATAATAAAAATGGGAAATATTAAATTATTATAATAAGTAATTGTCAGACTTACTCCTCTAATGCGCATATTTGGTGGATAAATCTCTCCAGTAGCAGATTGAACATAAGATCGCATTGATTTTAGGGATTTAAGAGATTTGGCACCTCCCGAAGATGTTCTTTGACCAATAGATGGTGTCGAATCAGTCTTGCCACTCGGCTCCGAGTGATCATCGGAAGAATGTTCTCGACGACTTGTGTCACGTGCAACTCTAACTTGTTAATAAGAAAGAATATTAAGGGTTCTTACTTCTTTTTGTGAATATACTCCATGCAAAACCTTAAAAAGTTTTAAAAATGAAAGAATTATTATTATTGTACCATATAAGCTGTACAACTTCTAAGATGCTAACAATAGAAATGCCAATCCAAAGTCCAGAAAGCCCGCCCAGATCGGCAATTAAACTGGTCATCTAAATGATCTCAATGAAATTTCTATATAATCTACAAATATTACGCTATAAGCAGCACTTTCAGTCAGCGTTTGATAATTGAACTCCTCGTAAAATACTTGGATAAGAGCCTAAATTTAATAAAAATTTAATTGTGGGATCTTTAGTATAAGTATTATATCTAGTACTGACAGCGTTAATGCGATACTGCTCCAAACATAACTCATCAGAACTGAATAATAGTTTAATTTTTGGATGTAATAATTTGTAAGTGACCTAGCACATTCCATTATTCTTGCTGTACCGGAAGGCCAGCGAGCGGCAGAATATGTGAGTTCATAACCAATTTCACTAATAGTTTCTTGTAAATATTTGCAAAATATAAAAACGTTAAAACGAACTGGCAAGGTAGTGGACATTTACATTTATCTAATCGTTCCTCAACCACGACTTTTTGATCTTGTATTGTTCGTATACACTCGCGAGCTTTTTGTTCTTCCATTCCGCACTGCCGAGACCCCGAAGGGATTGGTAGAGTTGGATCTGCACAACCGCAAATTCTTAGTATCTTAGAAATAATTGAGATAATTAAAATTTTCAAACAAAGTTTAGTATAATTTAGGAAATCTTTCAAAGTATTTTGGGTATACTCAAATTATAACTAATACTTCTTGTTGTAGGCAACTGCGATGGCAGCCCTCCACCTAAATTTATGAATAAAATTTAAATAAAATATTTAATATACTGAATAGTTGTAGCCAGTGTAAATATATCCTTCAGGCATTTGATTACCTACGGATTGTTAATGTTAATACTTAGTGTAATATAATGCTACTAAATATTAATCAGTTAATCTGGTATCATAGGAAATATTATATCAGAAAATACAGGCTTGGATTAAGATAATTTTCGAGAAAATGGCTATGGTTAACAATCCAAGTAGTATACATAAGCAGACATACCAGTTCGGCAATGCCCATATGGATGTTCAAGACGAAAGAATTTTTTCTAAATGAAAAATTATAGAGTTTTTGATAGATAGGTCAGGATTAGGCGTACCATTCTAACTCCATATGAAGATAGCATACCCGTGGGTGCATTTTCACCTTAATTTATTTGTGCTATAAGAAGCCTTTCAAAATTTACCAAAGGCATCCACAAATGGTACAGTCCATTTATCATGCACGGTAATTCTATTAAATGTTTGATAAATATATAATTCAGTGAAAATTTCCCAAAAAATTTAATTTTCCATGAATAATTTACCTGAAACCTATGGCTTCGGTCGTCGGCAAATACTCTGACACATTTGCATAAACAAGCACGCGTAATCCTTGAAATTAAAATTTTTTCAAGGCTAACTTATCATATCAATTAGTCTTGAGATAAACTAATGGTTCTACCAAAATTAGCTCCTGCGCGATGAGCTGTTATTTGCGAATCTCGATTCCAATTAAATGTATAGCAGTTTCCATATTGTGCTGTGTTATGAAGCTTGAAATCACTAAAGATCGACGGAATATACATACTTGTCAATTTAGGGCTAAAATAAATTAATTCAACCTTGTAATATCGCAATCATGTCTGAAATAAATTAATATAATATTCAATATTTTAAATCCTTTATTTAATAACTGATTGAATGAGCATTTTAAGATGAGTTCGTCCATTCTATACGAAAGTTGAATACGTTCCTTTTCAGATTTTTCTCCCTAGATTATTTTAAGATTAACATAAAGGATTATTAAAAACCATAGAATAAATTAGATTCTGCCTGGCTTGACTCTTTATGGATATTTCATCAGTTAAATTCTAAAATGTTCCAAATTATACAAGAGCTAATACTTTTTTCAAAGTTCATAACCTTGAATCCCAAAACTATCTTCTGTGATTCTTGTTTTTGAGCAAGAGAAATCTTGTCTTGTTTCTTATCTATAGGCTTTTGAACTCCTTTCGAGCTTGATGATGATGTATTCCAAAATAGGCGGGCACCAAATTGTCTGAAAAATAAGAATGATCGAAAAGCTTCACACTTCAGTTAGGTATATAAATATTATAAGAATTAAATCATCTAATTTACACAAAATTCTTATTTATAAAATTGCCTTGTGAAATTCAAAGCATCAATGTTTTCCTCGGGTAGAATTTCAGGGATATCACCGTTGACATTATTTTGTATGCAATGGTTGTAACTTGAAATTATGCAATTTTTATTTAAATATTATCCACATTTACTCTCGATGGCAAAGACAAACATCGACTCCATTATCTTTATCGTATTGCTGGATGCTTCGATTTTGAAAATTATTACTGTAACCATTCCCTGAATTATTAAGGAAACGCATTGGGCAATGGCCAGCTTGATCTACGCAATCAGAACAAATATGTTCTTTCCATGTATTGTCTAAAAGTAATGTTTATAAGTATGTAGGTAACTGCCAATATTTTCCTACATGGAAAACATGGCCATAGTGCCCTGGCAAATGTATCCAATTGACACAGACATTTGGTTTGATAGAAAATTAGAAGTTTTTGTCCAGGTTGATAAAGAAATGAAGCTCGGCGCTTTAAATTTAATTCCACTTTACACCAAATTTGCCGCCTTACTTTATAATGAGCATAGCAGCTGCCCCTTTTGCGGACAGATGATAGACGATTCATTTCGCAATAACATTGTGCATATACTTTATTACAAAATTATTAAGTCAACTAAAAATACTCGTTAATTATTTGAATTTACCTTGTAAATAACGTCGCTCATTCTTCCTAGAAGTAGCTACTTTCGAGTTTTCTACATCTTTTTGCCGTAGTCTTGCTTCCCTTTTATATCTCTGTTTATCTTCTAATACAATATAAAATTATTAAATTCGACAAATCTAATTCATATTGTCAGTAAATATTAATACCTTTTGAAAAAGAAATATCTTCTACAAAAGATTCATGGAGAGCATTTTGCATTGCATCTAACTAATTTAGTTAATTTAGCTTATTTATAAATAATCTAATTTTTAATCTCAATCACTAATTTACTAATTTAAGAACGTAAATATTTAAAATATTACAGTTGCTTGTGCTCCAATATCATTGAAGATTGCTGACGCTTTATAAGGATTCAGATTACATATAGTCACCTAAATTAGTCATTTAGCTGTCCAAAATCTGTTCTAGATTGAATTTGTTTTAGATAACCTACCGCAGGGAATTCAGTCATTTCAAATTTGAGCTAAAACTTTAAATTATTACTTTTCAAGTTTATATGATCACATCAAGATCAACATTCTTTGGATATTCAAAGAATTTAACAACAAGATAAATAGTTTGAACTATTAGAATTGTAAAACAAACTGTAAAAACCTATTAGAGAATTTTTAGTGCGATACTATTTATAAATTATTCTCCTTACACCAAGCCAGAAGCGTCGCCATTTCATGTTCGGAGCAAGACCCGCATGACAAATGCCGTGTATAGTGGAATGCTTGAAAGATAAGTCCTATCTTATTTTTAATTGCATGTATGTACCTTCTCGAATTGATTAAGTATGCCTTGCAAATCCAAAGAATAGGCTGGAAACAATAAAAAAATAATTCAACTTTTGGCAAAAGACTTACAAGCATTTTTAAAAGATGCTGCCCTTGAAAGTCTTCTTATCATTGCTCTTGGATTACGTCTGAAGGCGTTATAGCGATTTTGATCTTGCACAGAGCCCATCTCCAGTTTAACTGTTTTTCTTTTTTCAGGAATTAACTTCTTCCTAGGTCGGAATTCAGTCTCCATAGATTTTCGTGGTTCTTTAAATGGAATATTAGGCCTAGAGCTGATTAACTTTTTCTTATTATCACTAGAATTGCTATTTGTTCTACTACGTATTTTAGCATTAATTTCGCTCATCCGACTGTAAAAATATTATAATTTTAATCAATTATCTGACAAATGAGGGTTGAATCTGAGGTCTGAATAACATGGAAGGGATTAACATACCAGTAAATAAAAGGGATTGAAAAATTGATTCAGATTTATCGGAAATGGGAAGTAAATGTGGTACTAAGAGCTAAATTTTATATCGACAACAGGTGTGTTCAACATAGTGGGATAAAATGAACAAACGTTTTGCAACATACATATATCAAAAAAGATAAGTGTAGAAAATTGACAATCCATCAAACTAATGTAGTGAAATTTGTCTTTATTTCCTATCAAGTTTTTAATTCTATAAAAATATATCCAAATTATCATAAGCTTAAACAAGTTGGTTAATATAACTGAGTATTAGCCAGCGGATCTTCCGCTACATAATTATAAAATTTACACCTTCACAAAAAACAAATATTTTATTAGGTAATTTAAAGTTATACAATTATAATTCTTTTTTATTGGCAAAAAATTATTGTAGGAAGATGAATATACCCGTTTTTAAGAAAAATAGGGTTGGACATAAGTAATTAATCAAGCTAGAACTCAAAGTCTATTAGCGGAAAAATAGTATCTGATAATATCAGATTTGTCCAACCCTAAAATAAAATTAAATTTAAACAGTCATGCGTTTCCAAGTGCAGGTTCCGCACTCCAAATAGTTGGAGCGCGAAAAATGATGAGTACACAGCCGAAAAAACAAATAACAGTAAAAGTTATTAAGAAAATTCTATCCAAAACCATCGCCACAAATGTCCAGTCGTTTGAAATCTTTAAAATTACATTAAATTATCTATCTTTAAAATTATTATGTATGTAGGTAGGCTTAGTTAAATTTGGAGGCGGATATACTTTTGATACGGTATTGAAAATGGATGAAACTCACTCTTTGATCATCTTCTTCACGTTGAAAATGTTCAGCAATGAAGGCTACACTATCAACGGCACTTTTAAGCGGACTTTGCTCTCTATATAAACTGCCGTCTTGCTCTCTTTCTCTAGAAGTACTCGCGAAATGTGCTATAAGTCCAGAGCTCTCACGGCCATGCCCAGCTATTCTTTTTATAGCTTCTGCAGAGCTTGGAGCTGTATGTATCTCCATCTATATTGTGATAAAGTTATTATTTTATTATTCGTTTGATCAAGCAAAAAATTTCATTCATCATAAACCTGCTCAAGAATAGATTGTCGTTGTAGAGTCAGCCGCCTTTGACTTAAAGCTTCACGCTCCTTTTGTTTTCTTAAGACGGCATTAGGCAATAGATGTAGCTTAAATTAGATTATTATTACTTATTTACAAAAACTTCTTTAAATAACCATAATTGAAGTGCCCAAATCTTCTTTTGTTTTTCTAGATTTTTTACTTTTTTGTATCGGCCTCCTCATAAGTAGATAATAGGGTAAAATCTCAATAAATAATTTGCGGATCCAGGGCGACATCTGATAATTTTAATAGTAATTGTACTGTAATAGATAATAAACTTTATGTGTCGATGGATTCCGATAGTGAACATTTAATGTTAAACAAGTAGTAATGACCTGCAAATTAAATGAATTAATAGCTGGATAAGAACATAGGATACCGAAAGTGTAACCAGGACCATTGTAAAAAGAAGGTATTTGCCTATTAAAGGAATAACAAGCGAAGTAGAAGGAATGATTTCAACGAGAAGTAAAAAGAAGACTGTCAACGAGATAAGAATTGAAATACAAAGCGATATCTGAAATAATTGAAAAAATTGCCGGCATAAATAAATTTAACTTTTTCGCCTCCAGCTGACGGCAAATAGAATACAAGAGCTGTCAAAAAACTGATACCTACACATGGAATCTTAAAAAGCATATCGTAAAAAATCAAAAATTGCTTTATTCTTAAAACTGACCATTAAATTGACCTAAAATTTTATTTGATTATCATTTTAAAGAAAATATTTTACAGTGTAGAAGAGCGTTTTTCGACGCAGATGTATCTCATAAGTAAGATCAATGAAAGGCGAAATACAGCAAGGATATCTACATATATATTATTAAAATTATTTCAATTAGACAATTAAAAACTTTTTCTGATGCCGTTTTCCAGGCACACGCAGAATGTCCCACTCTACACTCGGATAATAATCATTTAGATCGATTCCATCATCAACAACCCAGACCTGAAAACTCTGATATTTACTGTATTTTTTCTAAAAACCGTTTCCCATTGATTCTCCCCATCGGGTCCAACTGTTAATTCTTGTTCCTCATGCTGCATCTGCTCGTTTTTATGCTTAATTTTAATAAATGTACATAAAAAGTATTTTTTATTGATATTAATTTAAAAACATTTTATTTTACTTTAAGATCCACTTCTAAACCACCATAGGTCCATGAACCTAGAAAGGATAACTTGAAATAATAGGTAAAAATAAGCAACCAAATTTCATTTCGCAAGTCTGAGCATCGAAGGGAAACCATTCAACATCGATTTGGCACATACTAAAAATAATAAAAAGTTACATATAAAAAGGATAAAGTCACCTCTTATAAATTGCTGGTGGAGTCCATTCAACAGTCCCATTATAGCTTAACTTTGCTTTATTCATTATTGTAACCTATGAAAATTAAAACGGATTTAATAGAAACAAGAAACCTGATAATTTCCATCCGCATTATTATAAAGGACAATATCAGGTAGCCAAATTAACTCAGACGGAACATAAAGAACCTCAACACCACCTGAAAGATTTTGGCTATTTTAAATATAATGATCATATTTTAAGCATAAGTGGCCATCAAATTAAAGAAAAATGAGAAAAGCTTACCATAATCTTTTGGATTCCAACATAATTTACTATCCGTCCAAATCTGCATATAAATTGATTAATTTAATTTAATTCGAAAAAGTTTTACGTGTTGAAGCCAAACATTAGTTGTCATGATTTGCTGTTTCTCGTGCTAGTAAATATAAAAAATAATCCTTATGGAAATATTAATCCCACTAATACGATCTTAAATTATTTTCCTCATATATTTGTATCGTAAAAGAATGTTCATTAGAAAGAAATGAAATATGAGGGCCACCACAAGGTACCGCAAGGCTGTCGAGTTGCATCGAACCAGGGAAGTTATAGCTCCACGGCACATCGGCCCGATCCCGAAAAATGCTGATAAAGATTGAACCTACTCACCACATCCAGAAGCTGGCTGAGTTTTAGTTTAAATCTAACTACAAGTGTTGCATTATTCTCATCTACAGGTCTAACTAATTTGTTATAATCTGCTAAAATATCCTCAAAAAGTCTATTCTCTTCTTTTGTGGCACTACAAGGTCGGATAACTGTTGTGGCAAGAAAACACATTAGAATCAGGCAAGCAACTAAGTAATTTGTTGAGTTAAATATTGTTGTTAGGAGAACCGGCTTTTGCAAGCTCGTTGGATAGTAAGCAAATAAATGTGAATCTAAAAAATGCAAGTTAGATAAGCAAAGAATCCTGAGACAATGACCGTATAAATGGTAGATTAATGAAGTTGCTGCAGTTTCTGTCGCTTGACTTTTATCATATAGTGAAAGAACGCGCATCGTTCACCATCGATGCTATTAAATTTAATGAAGGCGAAAGTGTGATTAATGAAGAGATAATAAGGGCTTCAATAAGAATATAAAAATTTTTCAAAAAGCAATGATCGTGCTTCTCAGCAATGTTGATGATTGTGTCACAAACTGTACAGAATAATGATAATGGATAAAATTAAATAAAATTTTTAAGATAATCTTTTGATAATTTAGAAAAATTCATGCAAAAATCCAATTGTTTTTTTAACAAACCTATAGTATTTTGAATGTTCATTTTCTGGAAGAAGGCAATTTCATTACTTTATCGAACGAAAGCAGAAAGAATATTTTTCGAAAAGCTGAAAAAATGTCTCACAATTCGATTCTTATAGCCTAAAATCGAATATAATTTTAGTATTTTTGTGCGATTGTGATGAATGGCATAATGCCAGTAAATCCTATGGATTGACTCAGTTGTATATCCAAAGCGAAAAAATAAACATTAAATAAAAATATGTAGGTTATGCACATGTAGTAGGCAAGGGAAATTGAGCAATACTATGGCCAATCAATGTTTCTCGATGGAGGAAATGTGTAGTGGTTTGCAGCCTTTGGAGACAGTCGTAAAAAGAGGATAAGCACCATTTGGTAAGTTAAAAGAAATAGTGTGGCAAAATATATTCCTTTAGGCTGGCGTTTGAGGATTATAAATGGAGAATGCAATATATGCATGAGAGTACCTCTTAACGTTATTTTTGCTTTTTATTTTTAAGGTTATTTGAAGAATTGCCCTTTAGGAACAAGAGGTAATGGAAATACTTAAGTATATACTTATAACAAGAGTCAACAGTGGAATTAAAACCGTTATACTATAAGTCAGTAAAAAGAAAACTAAACTAGCTGAACCAAATATAATAGATTTAGTAGTCTGTTAATGCCAAATCAGGATTTACGATCTGTTATCAGTCAGAAATGGATTTCGCTTACCACACTTTTTTGCCTTTTCTCGTAGTATTTTGTAAAATAACTCCTAATGATGATAAGCTAAAGCAGATGGGCTATAGTAGTTCTCTCCTTCAGCTAGTGAAAAAAGTTATTCGGCGGCTGGGAGCGAGCCAGCATCTTCAGTAAAACATATTCAGTTCCCCTCCCAATATTCCTCTTTATTCTGGGTATGGATTCAGCATGGCTTCGGCACTATGGATTGTAGAATATGAATGAGGGCTGAAACTTTTTCTATAATATATCATTTTATATAAGTATATCTGCTTCAGATTGGTATGCAATCTCTTAAAAAATGCTCGTCCGCTCCTTTATGAATTAATGGATCACACTATGAATTGTAATCACAGTAATAAATCAATGGATATTAACACTATTAAAATTATCAAACTTTTTAATTGTGATCTATAAACCATTATTTCATTTTTTAAAAATTACAATGTGCAAGAAGTTTTAATCTTATTGAATTTTTTTAAATCATTAAAATGTTGCCTAGATGAACAGTTGTTTAATTCACTCTGTGTGCAATTCGAACAGAAAAAAGGCGTTTAAATTTATGGCAAGAACATCACCGGTTTAAATGTTCTATGGACGTCATTGTTTGAGAAGGGGATTTTGAAGTTAATTTAGTAATTCAGCAATAAATTTAACAGATAAATTTGCTACATTTTATTATATATCCATAGTTTTTATCTATATATCTATTTTAATATTTTTAAATTTTATTTTATGTATTTATCGCTAAACTATTGTAAATTTAAGTAAAATAGAATAATTAAAAGATTTCCAAAAAATTTTAAACGTGCATCATGCCAATTATCTTCAAGCAACAACGATTTAATAAGAAGCGGCATAAACCAGATCTGTCACAGAGGAGAAAACCTCGAAGGTGTAATTTATATCGCTTAAGTTTTAGTTGGCACAATCACTGGGACATTTAGTTATTTGTTCCTTTAAATAAACCTAAAGGTTAAATTTATTAATTTTCAGACGCTTGTTGCACGCGGCACCAACTGCAATAAGGCGACTTTCAGTTCGCTTAACAGATGGAAGACAATTTCGCGCTGGAATGCATGGCATCCGTGCCCTTAGAAGACATAGTATTCGGGCTGGGCGTTCAATCTATCGTATCAAAGAAACCGGCTCTTCATTGCGAAAATATTTGAGGGTGTGTGATCAAAGAAATACATTTTAAAATTACTTTGTTAAAAAGGAATTTACAGGATCCAAAACTCGTGTTTCAGTTGGCCAAATACATTTACAACCGAAGACATCTAAAACACTTAATTCCATTGTTTTTTGTATTTTTTTATATGATCATAGGATCATTATTTTTTTATTATCTGGAAGCAAATGCAGAAATTGAAAAAATTATGGCAAAGTCATTATATAAATTTTAAATAGTAGTATTAATCATATTATTCCAGAAATGACGAATACGTGAAAGAAAGGTCGCTCTTTGTTAAAAGAATGGAAGAGTTAGTAGTTGATCTTGTTGCACGTGATCGTAATAAAAGACAGGAATTTATGGAAGAAGCAATTGATCACTTAAGTTGGCGTCTTAGTTATGAATTAGCATCTAAAAAATCAGAATGGTCTATCCCAACATCATTGTGAGTTTGATTCATGAAAAAAATAAACTATTTTCGTAAATGCTAAGGTATTTTTCCGGCACTATTTTCACAACAATTGGATATGGAGATGTGGCATGTACAACTTCCATGGGCCGACTTGCTACAGTACTCTATGCTTTATTTGGAATCCCATTGATGCTAGTTTGTATTTATTATTCTAATATAACATAATGTAATTAATATCCAATTAATTAAGACTACATGGAATGAGATGGGGAAATTCCTCTACAAATCAATTAATGAATTTATTGTCCTTCTTGGTAAAAACTGGATTAGATTCAAAGATTTTTTGCACAGTTCATTCTACAAGATACGCCAAAAAATATCTGGTTTATGTTGTTTGAGAACAATTAAAAAAGACGATATGCGGAAATCCCGAGGATCAATTAGTTCAGAAGATAATAGCTCATTAAGACAGTTAGAACAAGTAAAGGCAGTTAGCTTCAAGTTGTCCATGCAAATGCTACAAGCAGCTGATTGTATTAAATTACGGAATAATGTTCAAAAATACAATGAAGGAAGTGAAATCGACCCTAAAAATGGTTCTGAGCATTCAGAAAGTGTCAGTTCGAGCGATCAGCAATTGAGTGAAGAGAGTATGATGAAAGTTAAAAATGATAATGAAAAACAAGAAGGATCTCTCGAATCCAATGCTAGCAGTAAAAATTCTGATATTACAAGCGAATTGTCTGAAGAGGATTTAGATCAAAATCCGCCTGATGCACCAAGGATGCATGTATTGGTACAATTTTTTGCCATTTATTTTTAAAAATTCCCTCGAGAATTTATCAAAGTTAAGATAAAGACATTTCGATTTTTTATTTGCTAATTTATAATTAAATTGACAAAGGTGGCTATTGCTTGCACTTTCTCGTGGATCTTCCTTTGTGCAGGCCTCTTTCAATTATGGGAGGTTAAAAATATTTTAGTAATTCAATTATACTTTAAATAATACACAGGAATGGAGCTATTGGGATTCACTTTATTTTATGTTTATTTCGCTGCTAACAATTGGACTTGGAGACGTTAATGTTCAAAGACGTGATTTAGTAAGTAATACTGATTGTTTTTGTATTACAAATTACATTTTGATTAAAAAAACTATTCAAAATGACTATTAAGATGATGTTATGCTTCATTTTTGTAATGATTGGCCTTTCTCTAGTCTCGGTAACAAGATTAATATGAGTTAAGTGTTTACATATTTCATTATTTTAGATGTGCATAATGGTTATTCAACTTTCACTAGAGGTCATAATTTCATAAATCTGAGGCAAAAATTTGCAATCAAATTTTTAAATTATACTTGACTAATTTTAACATTTAACGGAACAGGATTTCTACAAAAAAATGATTGTCAAAGTAGTGACAGACTATCAAATAAAAATAGAGAGAGGTAGAAATCAAAGGAGGTCATCAATGGGAAGTATAATTAAAAACAATGGAAAAGGCAAATATCTAATTCCTATGAAGAAATGTATCTTTCAAATGGTGCCACAGGTATAATAATAACAGATTAGAGTTGAGGAATCCTTAGAGAAACATAGGAAGATTTAAATTCATCTCCTAATAATAGAATAGAATATTTTAGAGTACCAAGAGACATGTTCTAGAAGAAGTGGAGGAGGAGGCTCGTGAATCTGGCATAAAATTACCGCCATCTTTAAAAAATCATAATACCGTTGATCAAATCATATTTGACGACAAAAAAGTAATTTAATTATTAATTTTGAATTAATTTTTTTAATAAGGATTTTTCTGATATTTATGAGGATACGCCAGTAATAGTAATTAATGGAATTCTTAAACAAGAACCTTCTTTAAAAGAACAACATAAAGATACTGAATTTTCACAAAATTTAACATACCACAATATTCAAAAGAAATTGGAAAGTTGTACACAAACATATGGAACTCAAATTCGTGAAAGGTTATACCTAAAAATAAAATTAAAAGTCTCTTTTAGCTGTGCCCAAACCAATCTATCTACTGAAGTTAAAGGCGTACAAACTACTATGTTGCAAGAGGATTTAGCTAGACAGAAGAAGCATAATGACAAAGATGAAATAATGGCCGATGCTGCTATACAGACAGATCGTTTGCGGTTGTCATTTAAAAAGCTCCAAATACGTTCCAGGCGAAGTGATGCTGAAACAATGACAACAAAAGCTTTAGGACAGATAATAGTAATTTTTTAGCAATTTTTCTTTTGAACTCTGGAAATTTAATTCCTTATAAAATGTATTTGGAAATTTAGAATGCAAAATCCCAAACTGATAAGAATCACTTCACTGGAGATCAAGAAATTCAGACTTGGATACCTTTCGAGTTGGTCGACCTCTACGAAAAGGATGTTTGTATCATTTAAAATTAATTTCGAATTTAAAATTAATTATTCTAAAGAACTACTTAATTTATCTCAATACATTATCTTTCAGACACAAACATATAGATTCATGAAAAGTCAACGAATCCAGACTCCAAAACCTTTGCTTAATGATGCACAAACACAAAGTCATAACAGTGATCTTAACGGACAGATTTATCCATCAGTTTCAATGTTGAAAATGTTTTTAAATCCTATTGATAACAATACCGATATTGCATAAATTATTATTATGATTTATAGTTAATTTATAAGGCCTGTATTTTAATAATTTAATTATAATGTAGTATAATAGATTATTGTGATATTTAGTTTCAGGAGTCATTACTTTTGTAATAGCTTTAATTATAATACATCTACATTATATTATTTTTTGCATGGACCATTAAAGTTTCATTTTCATCTTTGCATATAATACTTATTTTTGCCTACGCCATTTTAAACGTATTTTTGCATTCATTAATGAAAGGCATTAACTTTTTACTTTTCCTCCATTTATCCTTTATTAAATTAATATTGAATGCTTCAAGTGTAATCAAATTAAAGCTTCAAATCTCGAATTATAATTTTAAGGTTTTACAATAATTTTTAAAAATTCCATTAATTCTATAGATTATTATTTTTCATAATTTAATTTGTGATTTTACACATCCATTTTAAATCCCATGCGAATTCCTTTTTCAATAACGGCGATAAATTCTGCTGCCCTTATTATAGATTTGCTTTTATTTATCCTTTTTATCCAAACAAACAGTAGTGACTCAATGCTATCGCCTCTTAGTTTTCCTCCAGAAACTTATTCGGTTTGTTTAGTTGAGAATTAATTTCGGTTAAAAGTTAATTTACAGATAAAGATCTTTGATGACAATGCACCGTTTTGTCAAGTTGAAGGTGAACCATGCGGGTTTTTTGATATATCGCTAAACGGAAATATACACTTTGATTGGATTAAATCTTGGTGGGATTGAATATATCAACTTAAAGTTTATAATTTATGCTACACAGGTGTAGATGTCCTGCTACTCACGAGTGTCTTTTTGTCGAACATGATTTGCGACATAAAGTCTACAAGTTTGCATGCATGAGAATCGTAGAACAACAAAAGTATCTTTATGGCAATGGCCAGTCTAGTCGAAGCAGGAATAGGATAATTGTAAGCCGATCAAGACACGGAAGAAGGCGGAGTGTGAAATGAACTAAGACATCCTTTATTTAAGAGGAAACTATAAACGAAAGTTTAAAATTCATAAATATCAAATATTTAAATGCTTATAAATAAAGTTGGCATTCCAGTTTTTAATTTTCTACATTAAAGACAAAAATTATAAATTATATAAATGAAAGATTGCTAAAAATAGCAAATTTTAAATAAAGTTATCTCATTTTAAGTGATAGTAACTTCTTCAACAGAACTCAACTCTGAAAAATAATTAAATATACGTGGAACTAAATCTAATCTAATACCGCTCAGGTAGTAGCCCCAATATCTGATTAAGTTAAAAAATATGATTCAAAGTAATAAAAGTATAAACGTACCCAAAATTGAAAATAAAGTAGGCGGTTGGAAAGAAGATGGCACTTAAATAAAAAGTATGCGAATTAGATTGTAAATAAATACGTCAAGCACCTGTATTTGTCAACCTGCTCAGGTGTTATTTGACGCACCCTATGCCATAATCTTTTAATACAGCAAGATGGGCCTTCTTCATTTTTTAAAAATTTATTTTGTTTATGGCCCTCCCGTGAATAAGTTTGTGATGTCATTCTGAGATTGAAAAGTGGAGCTCCAGAGAAGATTCCTGTTGAAGTTTTCTCAACAGATGACATTTGAGAATCAAGCAAATGATTTGGCGCTTGAAATGATGGAATCATGAAAGAGGTAGGAGCACCACCATAATCTAGCATATTATCTTCTTTTTTCTATTGTAAAAATGAAAATTGGTAGACAAGATTTCAGAATCAGATAAATTACGTTGACCAAACTGGCTTCATTACTCCCTTTGCATTTTTGCAAAGAAGAATAATGCTTGTCAACCCAAAACTGAAATAGATTATCTTAAGATAATCTGATATTTTAAAGATAATTAAGATGCCTGCTTAAGACCCATCTTTGGACTTGGCATATCTTTCCACGCTGAAATTTCCGTAATATTGTTCGATGTAATATTACGTCTGCCTCTACTGTCTAATTGAGATCCCAAAACTATCCCGCCACCTTCATTACGAGACATAAAACCAACAACTGCAAGTTCCAGAAGCGACAGAAATATAAACATCATTCTAAATATTGGGATATTATGCTTAAACTTGAAAAAACCCTGAGAGCATCCAAACATCAATAGCCTAAAATGTTGCGTTTAGTCAAGTAAAATTAAAAACATTAATAAAATGATTCAGAAATTATTATGACACTTAAAATTCATAACTACCTTGATATAGGATACCCGAGGTAGATTACTGAAATGATTAAATATATTTAATTAATTAGAATTAAAATGCCGAATAATGTTGCCGAATTGAAAAGTCATGGCTGAGATAAGAATAGATAAATAAAAATTTTATAAAACAACCCAATAAGGCATTGACGCCTAACATTGTGCGAGCAGGAATAGCACTAAAATAAATATTAAATTTTAAAATAAATTTTAAACTTTTAATCGAATACCGTGATCCAAGATAAAACGAAATCCATGATATAAATATAGTAACATAACTAAAATATAACTCAACATAAACAACGAATTAAATGCAAATTAAACTGACGTTGGAACATATCCTGTTATTAAATGTAAATTAGATAGTTTAATAAACGTTTTGAGAAAAAAAACCATCAAAAATATTTAGTTATTTGACTACCTTGAAGTATGTACCAACCATAACGGCGTTTGAAAACAAAGGCAACAGTAAGTTCATCCCACCAGCCAGCCGGGTATATCTAATAATTGTCAATAATTTAAAAGGGGACTGTCATTGGACAATTACAATTAACTATCAATTACCTGTTCAATCGCAATCACACTAAAATTAATCAACACAAAATCAGGCAGTTCTATTGATTTGAGCAACATGACTAAAATAAGCAAATATTTCTAATAAAACTACAATTAATAAAAGCAAAAATTCAAGAAAAAATCGAAGATATTATTAGAGGTAATTTTCTTTCAATACAATCATAAACATGGATTTCCTAAAATTATTTGATTTTGACTAAATGTCTGACCCGGATATGAATCTTTCCATTCCATACGAACTTCACCTATATTGTAATTGAAGCTAAATTAATTAAAATTTATTTAAAAAAGCATTGAAGATCACTAACGATTCGAATGTAAGAAAACATTTTTGTTGATCAAAAGGGAAGCTAAACATGAAAAAGTTAGCTATGACCATAATCAAACCGCTTTAAGTTCATATCACAAGGACCTGTGACCTTCATTCGATAATTTGTCCAAACAGTTGAATTAGAAAAAATCATAAGAAAAATATTTCTGAATTAAAATATATTTTAATACTAATCAAATGTTTTTCTTAAGAATAAAATCAGTTATAGACTTGCCTGAATGGGCTTTCGTGAATGGCAGCCATTTTCGAATTAATAAAGCCTTAGAAAAATGTTTATTTTTAAAATAAAATTACATAAAACTGAATAGCTTAATCTATGAAATTTCACTTAGATTATAACTAATTCTATCCATATTAGCTTAACAAGAGTGAAATGAAATTAAGCTAGAAACATAGTGAGGATAAATGATTAATTTGCATACATGTGTTCGGTATCCATAATCTTTGAAGCACCTTGTCGTCGAACGAAATATTATTTTTACAGGGATTCTGAATAATCAACGTTATAAAAAGTAAAATTATTAGGTGGAAAAAAGTTACTTGTATAAATTTACTAGTAAAGTTTATCTTATTTTAGTGACAAAAAATTTGGACAATAAATTACCATATAGTCGAAAACAAGAGCAGGATCCTCCCTAAAACTAAATAAAGTGAAATTTGTAGTTAGTCAAATATTGACCAAAATTCGTTTATGTATAAATCAATCTCAAAGTCTTGTGTTAGTTCACTCACAGCAGTTACTTCCTGCACCCACATATCAACACGGACATGTACAGGATATGAAGGAATATAATGCTGAAAAATGAATATAAAAAGTAAAAATATTTGATGAAGATTTGACTGAGTTGAAAAAGACAAAGGATCAACAAGTAAGTGAAAATACCTTATTATAAGAATCCTTGAGAAGATTATCAATCACCTCGGTATCATTAGCACAAGATGGTCGGAGATTAAGTAGATTGTGGCTTGGTGGCAACTTTCCAAAACCGCCGTATGAACTAAGAAGTTCAGTTAAGAAGGAAACAATCATCCATGAAGGATGCCCCATATGCTAGATAAAAAATGTTTACGAAAATAATATAGATAATGACAAAATAATAGTAATAATTTGGCTGTCTTTAGGACGAATAGCAATGAAAAATAGACAGAATAATAACGAAATTTTATGGCAAATCCGTCTTGTTAAGAAAAATTGCAAATAAAAATTGATTCCAAGAATAAATCATTATTAGAGGGTGGCACGTTTAAAATTAATATTTTCAAATAAACAATAACAGAATGAATAGTAGATTTAAAAAACTTATTAATAATTTAAAAGTTTCTTAAGGTCCACTATATGTTGCTAAGGAATAGTACATCCATAAATAAAGATGAATAGGGAAGTTGTGTATGTATAAACAAAATTGAAAAATATTGCATTTAAAAGTTAAAATAAAATAATAAAAATATTTAAAAAAAAAGAAAAAAATTTAAAAATGGATAAAAACAAACAAATATAAATGCAGTGTCCCAAATAATGTAAATGGCAAATCCAATAAACATTTCTTTAAATTAAACGAATGTGCAGAAAAAGAAAGATTTGAAAAATGTGGAGAAGAAAGTGTGTTGAATAAATTCAATTTACATGCTTCATTAAAGTTAAAACATATAGTTAGCAGATATTTATTATTAAATTTCGAAAATATACAGCCAAATGAATTTAAAAAAAAGCAAAAAGTAGGGATATGATTTTATGGAAGGCCACCTTAATCGCTTTAAATCTCCGGATATACTCCAAATTCAACCTTCAACAAATTAAGAGTAAAGTTGCACCCGATCCCGTAGTACGACCCAGTGCACGACAGATTTTTTAAAAATTTTCCGGACCGAATCACTGCCCCGAAACAATTCGAAGACCTCGTCCCACGACCCAAAAAGTTTTCGGGGTGTAATTTTTAAAAATTGACGATGCAAAAAACCTAAAGCCAAACAGCGTTCTAAAAATGTATTATCTATCTTATATTTATTATAAGAATTTTTCCAAGATGGATAATTTTATCTATTAGATGAATATCAGGCTTAAAATCGCCGAGTACATAAGTCAAGAAAACGGCGATTTCCAATCGGTGAATCGTCAAAATTTAATCAGGAAAAGCAACAATTTTCAGATGAAGCTGAACTACCACCTCTCCATGAGTGGTTTCCTTCTGGCCTTAATGGAGGATGTCGATAAACAAGTGCTAACTCTGCTTGGTTTACAGATTAGCGGATATCTTGATGGTTTGCGCACTATAGCTCGTCCAGAAGAACATGATTTGGAAGATGTAGTATCCTGCTTATCCTGTTTTATCGATTCGGTGCTTTTATGAATAAAACTGTTTTATTTTTCCTGTTTAATTTTGTTCTTTAAAATTTTGCCCTTTTGGACATTTTGTGGGGTTTTGGCCTTTTGGCCATTTTATGGATGCCCATTATATGGATTGGACATTTTGTGGGTTTTTTGCCTATTCGCCATTTTATGGGTTCCCATTTTATGGATTGGACATTTTATGGGGGAGCCGGGTGGACCCGCCGTGGATAATGAAATAGAAGTTAGAGAGTGTGATGAGAGAAAATAATTTCATTCTGTCAACTATGAGACGGTTAGATTGTTATTGATTTTTTGTATTTTATCAAAGTATCGATTTTTTACTCGTTACATGTTTTTCATTTCTTTTGCTTATTTTTTATTTTTTTGATTCCTTTCTTATTGCTTCCACTCTACTTCCCCATGGCAGATTCGTGAATAGTCTTCAAGGTAATCTTTTTTCGGTCCTGTTTTTTTAATCCTGTACAGTTCAAGGGTTTTTGTCAAGAACGAAATTCGTTCTTTGAGTTAACGAATTTTCCGTTTTAAAAGACCGAAATAAATTGTCATCAATTTTTCTGGCATTAGCTTAAAATTTTTTTAATTTTCTGTCGAATATTCGCAAATATGTGAAATTTTACGCCGTAAGCTATGCGCCTAATTTTACTATTTGCTTTTACTTTTCATCGTATTTATTAGACACTGGTCTGATTCTTAAACCGATTTATTATTATTTTGTTTGGGTGTAAAGGGTAACATTATCGTTTACGGGCCACCCATTTCCTCCTCATAGTTCTTTCCGAAAAATGAGTTCAGACCCCCTTCTTCAGTTCAACTCTACTTCCCTATAGCATGTTCATGAACGTCGACAATAAAAATTTGATGAAGAAAGCCGACAAGTATGGACATATTAGGGAAAAAACTTGGGAGGAAAAATGGACCCATAAACAACAAATTTCCTGCCAAAGCCTTAATATTTTTCGATTTTTGTTTTAGAAAATTAATTCTAAATTTATCGAAAAACAAGCGATTGTTGTATGACTGAAGACAAACAACTTTTCCTATTCGGACATACGCTTCTGGAGAACGAGATCTTTTGCTTGAAAGGTTAATTTTGTTTTTACTTGTATTATTTCGAATTTTCAGGATTAAAGAATGCGCAGAAAAACGAAATAAAGGCTATTGCTCTACTTCGCCTGGATGTACCGTGCTTCGAAAAATTCCAGCTGAAGATGTTTTGCAAGTTACTGCTGGGTATAATTATGTTGCCTTTCTGCTAAAGGTTTTATTTCACAGTAGGGTTTTGGGTTAGTTCTTTGATTTGGTTGCCCCCTAGAATTTAATGTCGTTTGAATCCGGATTTCTTCGATTCGTTTACGGATTTCCGGTGATTTTCTAAGAACGAACAACCTAGTTCACATTATACCTACCTCTATTTATACATTTTAGGATCATCGAGTCGCTCGTCTTCGTTATGAAATTGTTGCCAACACTATTGAATCTACCGCCCCAACAGACAAAAGTATTTTTTATTAATCTTTTAATTTTTAAAACGTTTCTTTATTTGAGATGAATCCGGCCCTGGTTCATCAACTGCTCCAGCTACCACCACTGCTGGTTCCTCTGATCCAGCGTCAGCTTCTGCAAATGCTGCTGCAAACGTCGCAAATCGGACTGCCAAAGGTCGGGTTTTTTGCTTTTTTTTAATTTTGAAATTTATTTTTAGCGAATTATGATGACACGCCCAGGGACTTGTTCTGGCGGATTTTGCCGCACTGGAGTTGTGAATGATAGAAAACGTTCTAGACCAATGATTCCTGCATCTTCCGTTCCGGAAGATTTAATTGTGCAATGCCAGGTTTCTATCCTTTTTATGGCTTTATTGAAATATCTTTAGGTTCTTTTACAAGGCAAATCTCGTGATGTGATCGTTCGTGAATTACAACGCACTAATTTAAATGTCAACGAAACAGTCAACAATTTACTTTCTCGCGATGATGATGAAATGGATGACACAAGTGAGGCCTATCTTCACGAAGAGTTGCTTTCCTTGCTCGATGCTGGTCTTCGTTCTGATGGAAGTGGTGCCGCAACACCGCGTTACTTGATAGCGACAGTATTTATTCCGCTGGAGATGGCTACGAATACTTGATTTCTCGTGATCTGGCTAGACGCAAGGGTGAAGGTTTAAATTTGAAAAATTTTTTATTATTAACATTTCAATTTAATAGACAAAACAAAGAAAATGCGGACAGTTCCTCGACAATTCAGGAACACTTCTTTCTCGAGAGTGAAAAAACAAGGCTCTGAACAAAGTAGACGTCGTCAAGAAAATGCTACTGGTTTATATGAGAGTTTGGATGAACGTGAAGAGGTTTGTTTAGTCGCGAAATTTTTTGATATCTTTTAACGTTAGGAAGTTGCGTATGGAAGTGATCACGATGACATTGATGATGATGACGACGATGCTGACGGCAAATAGTGTTGAGGGCAGCAATACTTCAGCTACAATTTCGATTGAACCAACAACTGCTCGACAGGCTGACTCACAAACTCAGATTGCTGTTAGTGCTTCTGAACCATCAGCTCGTGTTGGTGCGACCACTACTTCAACCACCACAAATCCTACATCTAATAATAATGCTGCTGATGGTTCTCGTCGTGGTGGAATGGGATGGGGTGAAGTAATTATGGATGAAAATGCTTGGGGTCGTAGTAACAACAATAATATGTTTGGCAGTGCAACATCTGCTACCCAGAGGTAAGATTATGACGAGGCAAATTAATATAATTCACTTCTTTCAGACCGAATGATCCTCGTTCAACTGTTCTTCGTTCCACCACAGCTAATTCAACAACACCTTCAATTTCTGCTAATGATTCTGTGACGTTGGGAGGTTCTGGTGCCACATCCTTACCTTTAGCTGCTCAATCAGTCGTCACTGCTGATAACACTGTTGTGGCAAATTTGGGGGATAACAGTAACTTTTCTACTAGTAATACAAGTACACAATTATCTGCTTGTTTTTCGGTTTGTTTTTCTTTTTAATTTTTTCCTGATTTTTTTACCTTTTTTTATTTTAGACAATTGTCAAATTGATCGACGAATTACTTTTGCAATTATTTATTTATGAAAATTGGAAACAACAAGGCAATAAGTCAAAAGGAGTTACCAACATACTTGAGTTGGATCCAAAGATTTTTGGCGTTTTTAAGGTTTGATCATCTTTTTTCTGTTTGAATATTTCATATATTTTTTTAAATGTAGGATGCTTTTGACGAATGTTTAGATCCAACATGGAATTGGTTCTTTTCAATTATGGATAAGTTAGTTTTTTATTATGTTGATTTTTAAATATTTCTCTTTTTTTAAAGAACTGAAGCGCTGCTACGCTACTCAAATGCTTTAATGAACTCGTCAGTTGGTCGTCTTCTAAACTCAAATCAAGTTGATCTTTCTGATCAAGCTGATGAACGACGTGATGACCAACAACGAACATTAGCAGCAGCCGCGCAACAAAATTGAGCAGCAGCTGAACAGAAGAAGCCTTTAACTAAACGTGTTACAATGGGAGCAAAACGTGGCGGTGACGGAAATGGTACAACAGGATATTCTGATAGTCACAATGCTGCTAGAGCAGAAAATATTTCATATTTCCTTTCACTTTTGAGAAGTTATTCGGCAGAAAATGGTTTTTATTTTTTAATAAATTTTACCTTTCTATTTATCTTTTAGGTGATAATTTACCTGTGCTTGAACTTAATGCGCTCAGAGATTTGCCTTTCATCATTGAATCTTACCTTTTCCATATTTGCTTTATCGACCAATTGGATCAGGCCAAGGCTGTTGTCCCACCAGTCAAGATTAGACGAGCAACAAGAGGAAATTCTGAAATACGTCAACTCGAGAATGAAGAGCAAAAGAAGAGTAAACTTCGTCGTTTTTTCAAACGCTCCAATTCAATTTCGTATTCAACATTGAGGTTGTTTTTTGTTTATTCTATTGATATTATCTTCACATTTTTTAGCGATGCTGTTAAACATCATGCATTTACATATACGGCAGCTGATGTTTTGCCACTTTCTGTTCGTCCTTATCTACTCAATTCTGAAGCGGAACGTGATGTTTTATTCGCTCTTCCTTTATCTTATCGTACAAAGATCTGTGCATCGGGTTTCATATATAACTTTGTTTTTTGTTTTCTTTTTTCAGCGTATTGCATTGGAGCATGGTGTTAAATTTGCTGCTCATCATAGCCTTTCCCAGCCTCCATTGTCTTATGCTGATTTACAAAATCGTCTATTTGGTGATGATGGCTTTAAAACTAAACAAATCGAGTCGTCTTCCACTCAGGATTCTATTGAAATATGCACTGCTACAAATGATGGTGATTCGAAAAAACTGAGCCCTCCGGTTTTCAATGCATTTTAAAAATCTATCGGACGATGGAATCGAACAATTTCATTTGTTGCAAAGGTTTTTTTATCTAGTATCAATCCTAAGATTTTTTTTAGAATTTCCATGACGATGTCACTAAATGGTTTGGTGGTGATTCTTCTCATTCTGTTCTTATTGATAAAAGTGGAGGTTTTTGTTTAATTTTTATGCCTAATTCAGTTCCTTATATTTAAGTTTGTTCATTTAATGTCCGTTATTCTCAATTTCGGAAGCAGATGGATAGACTCAAGTACCCAAACAAAAGATTTAGTCTAGTGTATGTTTTAATTTTTAGTGCTTTTGGTAATTTTTAAATTTCAGCAAGTTCGACGTGAAAAGAATGTTCTTCTTCAACAAACCTTCAGACGTTAAATCACCACGATGTTCGTCGAACGAGTGGGGCTAGTGGATATTATCTGATGGCTCTTGAACTTCAACATCTACACAAGAAAATATTTTATTGGTAGAAGTGTTCTTGATGAGCATGGGACTGAAATTTGATGATGAATTACAAAGATGAGAGAAGCTAAAAAATGTGGCAAAGATGCTTCCGCCACATTTTAAGGTCTAAAAGATATTTTAATGAAATATGTTTTTATATTTTTTAGTGCTTTTCCGTTTACGTCGTTTTTTTTTGTTTTATTTTTTGAAGCCAAAATGTTATCAAAACAGCAAAATGCTTAGATGCAAAAACGGAAAAGCACAATTAAGCCACTTGTAAAAAAAGGATTTTTGCGGATTCGTTTAGAAGAAAGCAAAAATGCCTTTTTTACAAGTGGTATTTTTTATCACATTATTTTTTTGTTGGTTAAAAATGGGTTTGGGCCCCTCCCCCGACCCTGGGTTTACTCTTCTCTAAACACCCAACTCTTCCAAGCTCCGAGAGCTTCAGACACTCCTAAACTCCAGAAACGATCCAACTTGACGACCTCTGTCTATAGTGAAACACCCAGATGGATTCCACAAGGCACATTTAATATGCTCTTATCGAATTGCAAAAACTCACTAGGTTCAGGCTTTCATACCTCCGAGTTATATCCAAAGGCACGGGTTCTTATTCAATAGGTGTAGACAGTAGGGCACTTAGACCTTAGATTCGATTAGAACCCCCCCCCCCCCTCCCACACTTCAACGGTCCTTTACAACTTCAACGGCTCCTGGCAACCGTCTACAACTTCAACTGCTCCTGGCAACCGTCTACAACTTCAACTGCTGCTGCCAGCCATCTACAACTTCTACTGCGCCGACTCTACTGTCCCCCGGGCCCCGATACGGTACTCTAATGCACCCCCGGCTCCAACATGGTACTCTAATGTCTACACCTATTTTGTAAGACCCACCTTTCTTCCACCATATCCAAGTCTGACCCAAATGTCACTCCCCAATTCGTCCGACAATTAAACTGTCACTCCCCAATTCGTCCGACATTCAAAATGTCACTCCCCAATATGTCCGACATTCAAAATGTCACTCCCCAATTCGTCCGACTTTCTAAATGTCACACTCCCCATTTCGTCCGACATTCAAAATGTCACTCCCCAATTCGTCCGACTTTCTAAATGTCACACTCCCCATTTCGTCCGACATTCAAAATGTCACACTCCCCATTTCGTCCGACATTCAAAATGTCACTTCCAAAAATGGCCCACACTGAAAATCCCGCACTGAACTGACCGACCCCCCTTCTCAAAAAATATTCTCTCCATAGGTTCAGGCTTTCATACCTCCGAGTTATATCCAAAGGCACGGGTTCTTATTCAATAGGTGTAGACAGTAGGGCACTTAGACCTTAGATTCGATTAGAACCCCCCCCCCCCCCCCCTCCCACACTTCAACGGTCCTTTACAACTTCAACGGCTCCTGGCAACCGTCTACAACTTCAACTGCTCCTGGCAACCGTCTACAACTTCAACTGCTGCTGCCAGCCATCTACAACTTCTACTGCGCCGACTCTACTGTCCCCCGGGCCCCGATACGGTACTCTAATGCACCCCCGGCTCCAACATGGTACTCTAATGTCTACACCTATTTTGTAAGACCCACCTTTCTTCCACCATATCCAAGTCTGACCCAAATGTCACTCCCCAATTCGTCCGACAATTAAACTGTCACTCCCCAATTCGTCCGACATTCAAAATGTCACTCCCCAATATGTCCGACATTCAAAATGTCACTCCCCAATTCGTCCGACTTTCTAAATGTCACACTCCCCATTTCGTCCGACATTCAAAATGTCACTCCCCAATTCGTCCGACTTTCTAAATGTCACACTCCCCATTTCGTCCGACATTCAAAATGTCACACTCCCCATTTCGTCCGACATTCAAAATGTCACTTCCAAAAATGGCCCACACTGAAAATCCCGCACTGAACTGACCGACCCCCCTTCTCAAAAAATATTCTCTCCATAGGTTCAGGCTTTCATACCTCCGAGTTATATCCAAAGGCACGGGTTCTTATTCAATAGGTGTAGACAGTAGGGCACTTAGACCTTAGATTCGATTAGAACCCCCCCCCCCCCTCCCACACTTCAACGGTCCTTTACAACTTCAACGGCTCCTGGCAACCGTCTACAACTTCAACTGCTCCTGGCAACCGTCTACAACTTCAACTGCTGCTGCCAGCCATCTACAACTTCTACTGCGCCGACTCTACTGTCCCCCGGGCCCCGATACGGTACTCTAATGCACCCCCGGCTCCAACATGGTACTCTAATGTCTACACCTATTTTGTAAGACCCACCTTTCTTCCACCATATCCAAGTCTGACCCAAATGTCACTCCCCAATTCGTCCGACAATTAAACTGTCACTCCCCAATTCGTCCGACATTCAAAATGTCACTCCCCAATATGTCCGACATTCAAAATGTCACTCCCCAATTCGTCCGACTTTCTAAATGTCACACTCCCCATTTCGTCCGACATTCAAAATGTCACTCCCCAATTCGTCCGACTTTCTAAATGTCACACTCCCCATTTCGTCCGACATTCAAAATGTCACACTCCCCATTTCGTCCGACATTCAAAATGTCACTTCCAAAAAT